TATTTTCGTTTCTTAAGCCCATTTAGCATTTTGGTGAACTGTGGCTGTCTTAAATGTGCTATATAAATAAACTCTGACTTGAAGTGACAGGAAATGTTGTACACTATATATAGGCCCTACATCTGTTACTAGTTTACACAAGATTTACTGTATGTGTTTAAAATGAAACTAGCAAGCAGGAATAAAACTTTCGATATCACTAAATGACGGTGCAGATTCAGTTACAGTATAAATGTTGCTGTAATAGTTACATTCATCATGTTGCTCAGGGCGTTTTTTTGTATGACTGTAGAGACAGGATGGAAAAAGTGGGTTTCGTTTTCATTTTTATCCCAAGAACGATTGCAGGGGAATTACTTTACCATATATTACACACCCAGTGAATTGGCAGCGACCTGAGTGGAGCTCTGACGCTGGGATCAGATGCTTCTCTCACATGGACAAGCTTTGACGCACCTGGTCAAGAACAACTGACATTAATGGAACTTCTCATCTGTTCCTCGCTGCTCGACTCAAATTATGCTCCGGCATGAAAACACTGCATGTCAGTCTGTCAGCGTGCCGTAATGATTTCCCCCCTCATTCTGTGTTTTCCATTTTTCACCCATGTTGCCCTGCACCGAAGTGACACTGACTTCATACTGGTAGCTCGTCCAAACTGGGTCAGTGCAGAGCCACTTGTTGCCGCCTGCCGCTGCTCGTCCAACAGTAACATTTGACATGGTGAGACCGAAGGCGGGCACACCCTCCTTCTCTATTACCACAGCCATTTTTCTAATATGAAATAAAGTCAAATGACACCATCGTTGGCCACCAGTACACACGATGACCTCACCAGACCACACCAAATAAAAACCAAACCCCTGGAACAATGCTCATATAAAAAACGTACTGTAACAAAGAAGGGGGCAGCTGGATGCAATTTCTTCTACATGCAACACAATGACCCATTGTACTTGTTTTACCAGGCTGAGGGTCTGTTTACACAATGCGCTGCACTTGCATAGGAATTAAAACACAGAGCAAGACTCTGGCTCACTCCTGAGTGTGTGACGCAGGGTGATTACTGACATATACTCTTTTAGAAACTGTCATGGCTACAGACGAGCCTATAATCCAGACCTGCTGAAGCTAATCTGCTCTTCAGATTATCTGGACGCGTCTAAACACCTGACCCTACAACATAGTGGAAGAAGCCAACACGTCAGTGACTCTTTGCGGAGCACGGACAGTATTTAATTTGTTTTTCCACGCTGTGTTTGTGTGACCAGTGGTGAAAAATGTATTACAATATTTTACTCTAGTAAAAGTACAATTTGAAATTACAAATCATTACAAATAATTGTATTCAGACAAATGTTTTTAAGTTACTAATGAAAGTGAAAAGTAAAAATGATGCCGAACTGACTCATTCCAATTCATTCTTATTTGATTATTATCATTCAGCAGTGCACCACACCAGCATGGAGGAAGCGTGCACGTGTTACTCGGGTCCTTTACTAGATGCCCGGGAGTTCTGCGCTACTCTTTGTGCTGCACCAGCACAGAGACTTCTAATGTTCTATCTGGAATATTGGGTGTTTTTCTAGAGGACTAGTAGTCAAAGTGGAAATCTTTAGAGAGTCACTCATGAACATCGCTCTACTTCTTTTCTATCCATAACCCGTCTCTCATCCTTCTGTACCTAGTCGACTAATGTCCCTTCAGGCTTAGTTGCAACCTTGATTTCATACCCATGTATCTCCAGGATCACTGCTGCAGTGGCAAATACAGGATAATTCGTTTCCATAATGGCTGCAGTGGGGATAGTGAGTGCAGCGTTGTGTTACCGTTTTCAAATATCTTCTATTCAATGGGACACAAGGAGCCAAGGGAGTTACATGCTGGGGTTGTGCAGCATTTGGGGTCTAATCCTGGGGGCCAGGTTACATTTATATATATAAACATAGCTCAATCTATAATGAAAACAATATATACTACAGTAATGAGGAACAGGTACAAAGTTGCAGAAATCTGAAATATTCCCTTTATATTGTACTGAAGCAAATGTACAATGGAGCTTGAGTCTGCATATGATGTAAAAACATTTTATTAGAGTGTTTACACAGCTGCACAGTATGATGACATTGTTTAAGTGGTGAAACCGTATAAAAACAATATGTTCATGTATTGAAACATTTGAGAAACATGATTCACAGCCTACAATCCAACAATACAATATGTTCACTCTTATTTACACGACAGAAGCTGGTGTGGGATGATTTGTCTTAGAGGGTGTTGAACCGTGTGCAGACGCACAAAAAGCGTGTACGTGTGTATAAAAATGACAGGCAAGATGCAGATTGCAGAGGCGTGGCACTGTCACAAGAGTCTGCTTCACCAGTGTTTATCACTTGTGTCTGAAAGGACAGCGAAGGGACGAGAAGCATGTAATGTAAACAAGAAGCTAGGATGTGATCTGCATGTTGGACTCTGACCTCCGAACAGAACTGACGGTCACACTGGATGAGAACAAACGAAAGAACCTACAGATCGTAATCCACTGCAGCTGTGAGGATCCACTCGGGGGACGAGAGGGGTCAAGCACAACAAGTCCGGGGAGGAACGCATGAAAATACCAAAGAAAAACACTGGAATTATTCTGTCAGAAGGTTTCACATTGAGGAGCAGGATAATGGCCAAACTGGTAGGCAGATCATTCTTTACCCAGAATCGCTGGTAACCTTGAAGTTTTTTCAACATGAGCCGCAGCTTGAGGTTGTCTCTCTGAAGCACACATGTTATTTATAAGCTTGCTTTTCCTATTCTTTCACTTGCATTACATATGAGATCTGAAAGCAGACCATTTGATCAAATCCCTGGGCCGCTTGCCCCAGAGCATTTTTCCAGTGAAATGTGTTTTCACTTATTTCTGGATCCCAGCGCTGTAGAAGGTTCATGCTCCGTCTTTCTCGCCTAACCACTGTTTTCATTTTCTTATGTCTGCAACGCTTTACATTTACAAACATACACCGGAGCTTCTGACTGATGAGGCCCTTAAAGAAGCAGGAGAATCATCTGCCAGTCGAACTAGCTTGGAATAACTTTGCATTTATAGTTGTGTGGAATGCATTGATGAGTGATGGACACAAATGCTAGCACTCAATGCAGCCACTTTGTAGTTCAACATTTTGGGAAATATACTTTTTTGATTTCGAGCAAAAACTAACAGTAGATGCAGATTTTTCATATTTGTATGCGTTCCTTATACGGAAAAGACAAACTCTGGAAAATGTCTGGGCCCAATTTTCCAGACATTTTCCGGATTTTATGTTTCTGCCAAAAAATACCTATATATACTTATATTTCCCAAAATACCAAACTATTCCATTAATATATAATAATGTTTAATTATAAAGACTTGATCCTTTGGTTTTGCTTTTAAATTGTAAAGATTAGTCATTATAGATCACTACATTTCAAAGAGTGTTTTACATTAAGATAGCACCATTGACTAAAAAGCAGCAACTTTCTCTATGTCTCTCTGAAGAAGAGCTAAAGTCTCAAATGAGCCTTGTAGAGACACAAACTCTCATTCAATAATATCAACTAGCAAACAATATACATATTTTCAATCTTATAATCTTCCCTTTTTAAGTGTGGACAAATAGAATATGGGGAAACAAAAAGTCACTAAGCAAAAGTAATATACAGTATTTCATTTGTCTCTGTGAACATTTCAAGTAATAGGATGCGGTCCGGTTTGACCCGAAGGAAGACGTCCTTTGGATGAGCAGCAGAAAAAATACACAGATCCTTGATGTCACAGCTCAAGTCAAGAGAGGAAGGCACCGAGGAAGAAGAGTCAGCAGCTCAGGCAGGGACAGACGGGCAGAGAGGGGCCCTTCACTAAGACAATCATTGTGTACTGAATGACAGTCCTTTTACACAGCGAGGTCCAGGCTCCGGGAAGCACGGCCAAGAAGAAGAAAGTAACAGAGAGCTTCACGTAACCTGAGGCATATTTCTGTAAAGCAGAAGAGATGTGTAGGTATAGAGTATATACATGTTCTTAAAGTACACACAGAACAGCCTGTTAGTGTTTTGCACAAATTATTTCCAACTCTAAACCTAAGTTGTTGAATTTAATGCCTTGTAATAAAATAATATAGGCGCCACATGCAATGAACCCAGTAAAGAAACAGTTCAACGTTTGCTAGAAAAAGATTGATACCGCTCGATTGCTTGGTTATGATAAAGCTGGAGCAGCTATTAACTTAGCTTAGCAACTGGAAAAAGGGTGAAACAGAAAGCCTGGCTTTGTCCAGAGAGAAATAATCTTTCAAAATCCAAACCAAACCATGAAGATGACAATTCGTCATTTTAGTGGGGATCTGTACCGGACTATTTCTTGGCTCGGTCAAAAACTTCCTGGAGAGTCGTGTGTTTTCCTGCCAGCTGCTCCTGGCCAACAACAAAACCCTGCACGTTAACCTTTGCACAACTTTGACTTTGTTTTTCCCCACTTGTTTTTTAAGGCTCAACAAAGGAGATGTATCATATTGATTAGTGAGATGTGTCATATTGATTAGTGAGCATTAGAGGGCGCTGCTGGGCAGATTCTGTTGACTTTGGACAGAGGCTGCATATATTCACCTGTTTCCAGTCATTATTCTAGACTAAGCCAAATGCCAGCTAGCTTCAGCTACAGACACGAGAGTAATATTGATGCAACAAAGTTCCTTTGTTTCATTTCAAAACTGTCCTTCACATCTGAGCTAGTGTTTCTTCTCCCATGGTGAGAGCACTTTCTTTTTCTTCTATGTCTTTTATGTCCTTTGGTCGATATATAGGATTGTATTGTTTCCGGAAAGCTCAGTCAGTTTACATAAAATGCATTTGACTTAACGTGGTGCATGCTGGTTAGAATTTTTTTCTGACTTCATCCAGTGCTGCAAAATGTCACCAGGTCACCTGAGCTTTAAACATTACAGGAGCGAGCCGGCTGCAATCAGATTGTGCGGTTGCTCTGCTCCAGCTGCAGCACCTCTGGGCCGACTTTTGAGCTTTGATTGGCTGAAGGCTTCAGTGACCTGACATATCTTAGATTTGTATTCAGAGAATTCAGATGTGTTTTCTGCTCCGTGTGTGAGTTTGTGTGTGAGGGATCGTGTGAAGCTATATAACCACTGGCAGTGTATATCTGTGTGATTCACTTTGTTTCTGCTTTGTTATTTCATGTGCGTTTTATTTAGTCTTTCTAATGTGGTGGTATGTGTTTGTTTCTCTCCAAAGAGGATGTGATGAATTCCATCTCCTGCTGACAGTTTGTTAGTCTGTGTATTTACACACTTGCCACAATAGTTTTTTTTCAGTCACTTTTGCTGTTCATTGTTCTTTGTTCAAAAACATGGGGATTTCCTAAACATCTGTTGCATCTACAAATGAAGATCGATCATTGTTCTTGTCTCACTGATGCTACGAGAAGTAGAATATTTTCGCCCCTGCAGCCGCCGGCAGATCGAATCGGCGGATCAGTCGAAAGTGACTTTATAGAAACTGATACAAACAACAACAAAACACTGTTTTTATATCGGCACTTTGGAAGGCGGTGCACAAGAGGCCAAAAACACAGAGGAAAAGAGGTGTTTCTTTCCTGTCTTTATGCATCTAGACCATAATCCTTCCCATTCCGAAAACTGTTGATATTCCTTTCCATTGACAGAAAAAATATATCTTATTGTTATGTTTTAACAAAAATCTTGAGGGGAACTTAAACTGGCAATCTACAAATGAAGGGGAAATACCTTCTTGTTGTTGACAGCAAAGTTTCAAGTCTGTGGAGCTGAGCTCTCTCTGCAGGTATCCAGGACCCTGCAAGCACATGCACATGCACACACACACACACACACACACACACACACACACACACACACACAGAGAGAGAGAGAGACACATTGGAAATTAGTTACTTTACTTACTGCACAGACAAGTGCCCATGACTTAACTGAGGCTTTTCTGGCACAAAGACTCTGCATGGCACAGACAACAGGCATCTTCAGCCAGATCCCTCTTAAATACCCTCACAGCCATAACACACAGACACTGTTACTGCCAAACTGTTGGCAGACAAAGGAATGTCTGTGTGTCGTAATTGTTTCTGTCTCACTGTATCAGCTCCGGGCCTGGCTGCTGAAGATTTGGTAATGATAGATGTGTCTCCTCACTGATTTGGCATGGCTTGCATCCTTCATCTCCTCCAGCTCTCAGCGAACCCTTTTTTCACTTTGATTTTGTCTTCTGTCAGCATCCAGTATCTCAAACTCACTTCCCTATTTCCTCCCATCCTGTCCGGCCTGTTTATCTCATCGCAGTGTAAAGGGGGGGGGGGGAGAAACAAGAGAGAGAGAAACTCACGCTTGATGCTGCCGTACAAAGTCTGCAAACTGCCGGTCCTTAGCGTAGAGTTCAATGATGCGTATCCTGTCTTGGATTTCCTGCAGAAACACATGATATCAGTCCAGAGGGAACATTACATCAGTGCATCACAGGCAGATAAACAGTCAAATGAGCAGAATGTGGCTCAAACATAACGCAACAATTTTCTGATTTCAAGGATTCAAAAGCAATTGGTGGAACGAAACAAGTCTGCGGCCTTCGAGTTTGCAGTCCAGATTCTTTTCAGGTAAAATGTGGAGGTGGGAAAATAAAGATGTGTCCTGGCTTTGCTTGGTAACTGGCATCCAGATGACATTGAGCAAGACACATTTACCTGACTGCACTTCAGTAAAAGTACAGTCAGGGAAATTTATTCTCCATTTGAACTATCAATCCAGACGAAAATATATATTCCTCAACACACCTCCCAAAAATAGAGCTGTAGTGTCTCCAGAGAGTATAAATCATAAAACACAAGTTTAAAAAGCATCTTTTATTCGCCTCTAACTTTCTCTGTGATCATTTATTACCTATGCCAAGGGGGGCTCTGTTATCATCACTGTTTGGTAGTTATTTAGCATTAAGCAAAAACTACTGAACTAATTTCCATGAAAATGTGTAGAGGGGTGGAGCATCACCCATGAAAGAACCTATTCAAGTTTGGATCAGAATTAATGACTAAATTATTTATTTGCTTGGCAGAAAAGCACGACTGCTTGGTAATATTTCATTGAATCATAAACTATTTGGATTTGTTTTAAACAGTAAAGGCCGTATCATGTGACTAACACTGCGGTGCACAAACACACCTCCTTGGTTAATTCACTGTTCTCGTAGATGTGCCGTATTTCCTCGCTGCTGAAGTCCGTGGAGGCCTCAGCACTGGCGCTGCTGTACAGTGGATAGTCGGGATAGCGACGGTAGTAGTGGCTATAGCCTGTGGTCGCCTCGCTCTCGTACATGGGATTGTACTTGGTCGCACTCTCCAGAGACGGGAGACTCTCTGCTCCCCTGCAACATGACACAGAGAAATGAGGAGAGGCTGGATGACACAGAGCCACACTGTCTCGCCGCAAAACAAAACTAAGCTTCATTGAATAAGACTTTGATTAACCTTCCCTAACCTCATGTTTATTTCCCGGTCAGACACCAGACAATCACAAAGCCTCGTGTTGGGTGTTTAAGGCTTTTTGGAAATAGATCAGTCCTATATCTGATCTGCTAATTGGCTGAAGTTAACACAGCATTTCTCTCCAGGGCTGCACACACACACACACACACACATAATCACACAAGAACCCACACAAACAGAGAAAAGAGTGAAAAAAGTGAAGAAGACGGGAGGAGAGGGAGAGAGGGAGACGGTGGCCACAATGCTGTGAATTAGGGACGGGGAAGAGATGGTGCAATGGATTATTTTGCCTGTTCAACTGAGGATACAGTCACAGGACGTCTCAGGTTATTCTGAACCCTCAAGAAAATAACCAGACTCCTCATCAGACACACTGAAGTTTCTGTTCAAACAGTTGTGTTTATTCACAGGAGTTACTGGAAAAAAAATCCTACTGGTTAATCCATCATATGGCGTTTATCTGATTAAGCTGCAGGGTGAAGGTTAAATATAATGTATATGGTAAGTATCATAAGTATCAGATTGATTTTTTATCTATTCAAACCTCCTTCTGTAGTAAGAACTAATCTACATTAATCTCTACACTCATACATGCTGTGGATTAGATGTTAACACGTGGTCTTCCTCACCTTATGGGATCCTCTGACTCATCCTTGTCGTACTGATCCCGCAACGTTCTGGCCAGGAAAAAGATCACTCCGGAGGCCACCAACAAGAAACCAGCTACGGAGGCGATCGCTATGCCAACCACCAGCGGCTCGGACACATACTCCTCACAGTGTTCCCCTCGGTACCACCAGTTCTCCCCAACACGACACCTGAGATGACGATTTGTCATAATGTCATAAAACAACTTCTGCGACTTGCTTATACAAACAAAAACAAAACATTGTACAACACAAACAGACGTAAAAACGTGTAAATCATTCAGGGAACAGCAGAACGAAGTTTCACTCTTCTGTCTATTTTTGTCTGTTGAAAGACTAGAGGATAGGGTTGATAACAGGTCTACACTCTTAATGCTCTAGATGTGTTATTGAATAATTAATTCCACGTTTTGACATAAAAAAAAGTTTGCTTTACGTCTCCATGGAACAAATCAACACTTTCAGATCAACAGTGAAGAAGTAAACAACAATCCGACAGCATCTGGAGTTGCCTGAGTGTTTTATGATGTGGTAGTGGGTGTGAAACTAAGGTTAGCACTCATCTTGGCACACACAAGCTCTCCTGTGTCTGTTCACAGTCACGCACGTCAACACTTAGCACATCTACAATAGAGCCGGAGGACATGTTTCTATCACTGATTGGAATAAAAGGTTTATAATCTTACACTCATAAACCTTTGCAGTGTCTGTTTGGACATGGTGACGTATGTGTAGATTCTATAAATGCATCTGAATTGAAAACGCTGAAGCTGCACACTTGTTTCTTTCAGCAAATACTTGTTCATCCTTAAAAAAGGAAAATAATTTGATGTTGTTTTTGGTGTAATTTCAGGTTGAGCCACAGTCTGCTCAGTATAATTAGATCGTTGCGATTATGTCTTAACAAACTGTATTTGTTATTTTTATTCACTCACATTTAAGGCTTTAGTGTCAATAAATGAAAATTGTAAGCAGCCACAGTTTGAGTCAAATGATAACATGTTGATTTTCTTAAATTGCTTAAATTACTTTGGCCAAATATATAAATATTTGAAGATGGTTAATTGTTTTTTGCAGCCAACAAAGGTGTAAACAAATCTTGATTCCATTTAATGTTTATAGCCTCATTATATTTCATTAGCCTTGAGACCTGAACATATTTTGCGTCACAAATATACGGAACTTAATTTGAAAAAGCTTTTTTGAACAAAGGTTTGAAACGCACCGGGCGTCTCTCCTCTACACATGATCCACATCCAGCCAAACAAAGCACCTTTAAAACCCAAAGCTCTAAGACTCTGGCCTCCTTCAAGATCTGCGGTAACGCTTGAAAATCTGTTTTGGATTACGTGATGGAGCACTGGCGTCTGAAACCTGCAAACTCAGACGCTCTTTCCCGCACACACTCACAGAGAGACGATCACTTCCCCTAACCCCCACCCACCTGCAGATGGCTCCCTGGCCGGGGATGATGTCACACTTGCCGTCATTGAGGCAGAAGTCAGTCCGCAGATCGCAGATGCTCTGACAGGGCAGGTCGTCCACACTGAAGTAGCCGGCGTTACAGACACACTCCGCCTCCCCAGACCACTTGTTCACCTTACACTCTGCATACTCGTTACAGGCCTGGAACTTACAGGGGTCAGCCTGGTCCCCTGGATGATGAAGAAACAGGAAGAGCTGTGACTGACAAGCAGGTTGATTGTGTGTTTGCTATTTAAAAAAGGTAACAGAGTTGAAGAAATAGATTGATTTACTTTTTTGTTATATGAGAAGATCTACATGTCTGCTCATGTCAGTCTGGTAAATACAGAGTTAGAGCAGCTTAATACAAAGAGATCCAGCCTGGTGCACTGGCTGTGACTCAGACAGATTATCAGAGCTCATCCAAAACATAAGCATGAATTAATGGTATCATCAGTGGCAGATTACAAGCTGACTGATACACAGGAGCCTGGAGGAAGACACCACACGAGGAAGGGAAATGTTGTGCTGGCTCAGATAATATAACTAAGCTATATTATACAAAGGAGGAGGATATAATACACACAGAAATAAGAAGGACTGCTTATTTATCGGTTTTATAAAGGGTTCTGTAGTTAATAAAATGTGCTCATCACCCACCTGACTCGACATCCAGAGAGTACTTATCAATGGCCAGGTTCATGGTCTGGTAGGCTGTGTTACAGAAGTCCTCCAGGATCAGGTAGACGGTGGTGGTGACGGCCTGAGCCACAGGTTTCCCAAATTTCATCCGGCTGTTCACCACAATGCTTCCGTTCCTGAAGTTCAGGATCTCCAGGTTCTCAAAGTGACTCAGGTTGGACTGCAGGTAGGGCACGAGCTGGGGGAAAAGATTTTAGATTTGATTCTACAAATCAATACAACAGTGAGAACAATGACAGCCATGAGGGACTATGAGAAGTTCACCAGCTCTAGAAAGCGTTGCTCCAAAGCTTTGTACTCTGCCGAGCTCTTGTTGAAGAGATCGTCGGAGAAGATCATGTTGGTCACCCTCAGGCTGAAGAACACCATCAGCGCTCGTCCGGGGTTCGCAGGCATGGAGATGCTGACCTGGTCGGTGCCGTGTGCCACACCGAACGGGAATCCAGTGCTGCCTTCCTCCGTGTGGTTAATCAAACCATAACCATAATGAACCACGTCGAAGCCCGGGTCTCCAATGGTGGCGTCATCCAAGCCTTCGATAGAGGTCTGGATCTGGAGAAATTCAGCATCATGTTACTGACGCTTGTTTTGACTTTTGAACCTAAAATTGTAAATGACCATTGAATTAAGTGTATGGGTGTTTTTTGTTGTTGCAGAACTAGTCTCTCCAGGTTGCATGACTTTTTACCGACTTTCTAAAAATAGTACGTTCCAAGTTAGTGGACCAGGAGAGAGGTGACACTGTTAATTAGCTTAATCTGTGATTTGTGCAGAGCGAGTACATTAGTTTGTGACTCCACGTGTGTCATGATTCAAATCCTGGGGTAACCTACAGAGATCTGAAGTTACAGTCTGGTCATTTACCATCACCACAAACTGACCATTGAAAGAAATATATAAACTACCTCCCACTTTGTACAATGCAGGAGAAACTGAACAGTAATCAGTGTTTTTAGCAGGCTGAGCTAATCTGGTCCAAATTCTTCAAGTAGAAATCCAGAATATTGTAAGAAAAGTGACTGTTTGTTTGCTATGAGCTGCTCTAGTCTGTGGTACATCATGGAAAATGCTGTTCCCATTGTTTCTATGTTTTAGTTTTTTCCCTGTGGACTTCATTGTGTGGACATGTGACTCTGGCCATGACGGGACAGGCTCGATTAATTTTCTCTCGGGTTTGGACAGAAACTTGCATCCCGAGCTGCACATGTGGTCTTATTTGTGCAAGGAATCAGAATTAAGCATCCAAAACCAAATCCTGTTTCAGTTTTAATTTAATTTTTACCTCCACCAGTGAAGGGATGACGATGTCAGGTAGCCCCTCAGAGGCAGGGTTAACGTCAGAGACGCGGGTGAAAGGCGACTCCCTCTCTGGAGACAGGGCGGTTGGTTGGACAGGATTCAAAGAATCTGTCCCAGGTGGTTCTTCTTCATCCTTGTTCACCAGTAAAACCTCTTCCTCCGTGAGATCTTCTGTTGAGATTGAGGGAGCTCCTGTGGCCTCTTCCTCTACTGCCGGTGCTTCAGGTGTCCCTGAGTCGACCGGCACCTCTTGTCCTTCGCTCTCTGCTGCCTCCTCCACACTGTGATCTTCAATTACAGATTCCTCAAAAGTTTCAGATGGTTCAATGTCCAATATCACATCTACGGCTGCATCTTTGGGGTTTTCCTCCTCAACTGCAAGTGGAACATCGGTGAGGTTTGAATCTTCATTTATCACCTCCAACGACTCTTCATCCACAGGAAACAGACTGATTTCTGATGAATCTGGTTGTGATGCTTCACCTGCTACATCTACAGCCTCGGGAGACGGGATGAGAGCAGGCAGGCCTTCTTCTTCCGAACTCTCCGTCTCCTCTGGATTTTCTACGTCCTCTCCCGAGTCTGAGGCTGTGGTCAGCTGCAGCAGGTCCTCCAGGTCAGAGCCGGAGGCCTCGACCTCCATCGGCGGTTCAGGCAGCGTGACGTCCTCTGGCAGCTCAGGGGAGGGAAGTTCAGCCGGTAAATTCTCTGGTGGGGGGTTCTCTACAGCAGCCGTCTGCACAGTGTCCTCCAGCAACAGACCCTCCTCCTCGATGACTGGAAAAACAAAGATAAGAAGTTCAGTTTGCCTGCCGGTCTCTCTTTTCAGGAACTGGCTGCCTTTTACCAGACCTCACAAGATCTATGTGGCAAACCAAAGAAAATATTTTCAGTAAGAGATTCACGAAATGAGAACTGAAAGATACAGAAACACTTCAGTACAAACACAGAGTACTTTTTTTTTATAAAGTTTGGGTGTCCATCCTCCATTCAGGGCTGATACACACATATGGGAGTAAAAGAATTTGATGAGAAAGATAAGATGTTATTATCAAACCCTCATGACAAAGAAATATAATTGAAGCTTGATATTTATATAAAATAATTTATTATGACATTAAATATGACATTTTTGAAGTTAATTTCAGCAAACAAACACAGATACTGATACGTCTGTGAAAGGCTCATATTGAACGATCATATCATTCAGGCTCTTTCTGAAATCCCTGAGTAAAGTGCAAGACTGTTACAAAAAGGAGGAACTAGGGTGAAGGTGACAGGAGGAGTCACACTCACTGTCAGCTTCAGGTGCACTGGTGATCAGGAGGGGAGCCGCAGACACAACAGTGCTCTCCTCCAGAACAATAACGTCGACATCTTCAACGTCCTCTTCCAGGATCTTGATTTCCTGCGGCTCGTCCACAACAACCACCTGCATCACAAACAGCTTCTGTCATGTGAACTGTTTACAGATATTTCATCAGAGTGAGCCGTGCCAATCAGGCCAATCAGAGCTCCTGCAGCTCCAGTTCAGGACACAAAGCTGACATATATTTAAATTAAAACATTCACCACATAGAGACAAAAAATTAACTCTAATGAAGACTGGATATAAAAGGTCGACCAAATAAAAGGACAAGAAAATTGTTAAATTATATAATAACAGACTAAAAAACTCTGTTTCATTTCAGATTTCTGAGATTCCAGAAAACTGTCTGACCATCCCAGAACCACTTTCAGGCATCGTGACTCTCACAAACTCCAAGTCACACAATAATTGATCTGATTAGTGTCGGCCGACCAGCTCAGGGTTACATCGAGCAGAATCTGTACAGTGTCTGTCTGAATTTAGGAGGAAAGCAGAACCACGACGTAACTGTTTTAATGAACGTTTTGAATAAACTGATTTACTTATTTTATTCTGCAGAAACTTCCAATATTAACTCAATGAAAACTTGAAAAAGCAGAAGCTGAATCTGGAATGTTCAGAATCTAAACTGAGGCAGTGAAGTGTGTCTGTGGTACAGTAGCTCTCCGCTCTAGACTGTGAATCAATTACTGATGAAGTTTGCCATTTCCCCCAATTCATCTAATGAGTCAAATTAATCACCCGGCAAAACGGAGCTGTGAAGATGCATTTAGTGCAACGTAAACTGTGATGATCATTAAAGAACACACAGTGTTACGGGTCTGAATGGACTCATGTGTGCAGTGTCTCCTCCTGACGCTCTGTGGTGTGGTGCACTGTAGCTTCTGCCCCAGAATAGCAGTGGATTATTATAGCGAAGAGCCAAACTAATCCTGAAAGCCTCACTTCATCCTAGCTGGTGAGCTCATTCCCTACCTGCTCTCCGTGGTGTGGCTCTGGATAACATCACAAAGCCAGTTACAGATAAACCCAACATCAGTCATACTACGACTGTCAGCGTCCTGAAACAAGAGCGATTCGTCATCTCTGTGTGTGTGTGATGCTGAAAGAAGCGGGGAAGGCCTGGAGAGAGAGCGGTGGTTGTCACGATAGCTGCGGAGGTAACTTGTTACTCACCATGGCTCCGTCCGCAGCGCTGACAGACTCTGGGATTTCAGACACTGCGAAACCAGAGGTGAAACCAATATTAATACAAACTGACACAGAGGAGGCGAATGTGCCAAACGGCCTGAATAATCCTGCCTGCCAGGATCTAGAAAATCATTTAACAGTCGCCGCTTCGGCACTGACAGCCTCCATTCCTTCGTTACCTTCAGGGGTAAACATCCACAAATCAGTGCTAGAAATCTGGAGTGAATATCATCCACTGTGAGCCAAGGCTATTACTGCGAGCAGAGCCGAAGCCAAGCTGTGCCTTTAAGTTCCCCCGGCCACACATGTCGGCCATATGAGACTGTTTAGCCATTATTTCTCATGTCGCAGCCCATAACTAATGGAAGCATTAGATGGCATCCATCTGCATGGGAGGTCGCTAACACGGTAAACTAATGACACACTTTATCTGGAAAACATGAGCGTGTGGGGGGGGGGGTCGTCTCACAGGAGGAGGTGGATGGTTTAGACATTATCACACATCACATTCAGTTTCATCACATTTCTGGGAAACAGACAGAAGTAAGAGGTGGCTACCCGACTTACTGAGTGTCTAACTCCAACACAGGTAGTGGTTTGGATCTGCCTAGTGTGTGTGTGTGTGTGTGTGTGTGTGTGTGTGTGTGTGTGTGTGTCTCTACAGTGAATTTGAAGGGGAACTCTGCCAACTCATCCAAGTCTGTTAACAGGTATTAGAGAGCACTACTGCATGTGGGTAAACAAGAGGAGCTCGGAGGACTGTTTCTTTACCTCCACCAACAAGGGGATGTTTTCGTCTGTGCTTGTTAGTCACTTAGTGGGATTATGGCACCGGACGGATTTCCACGAAACTTGGTGGAAGGATGCATTATGGGTCGGGATTCCTGTGATTTTATTCCCTCCATCATGACTCCTGTGGTGTTTACTCTTGTTTGTATGTTTTCACCTGATACTTTTCTATACCTCTGCCTGAATGTTGATATATGTTGTTACTCTGACTCCTTATTTTAACAATGAAATGTAGACGTTTGTATTTATGACAGTTTAGCCTGAATCTGTTCAGGAAAACTATCTTTTGATGTGATGTATGTGTTATACATTCTATGTATATTCATTATGATGTTTACGATGACATGCACATAGTCTTTATTGCTGATACATCACGTGATTTGTTCAAATTGGATTTTGGGTTTTTTCACTGGATGTGGAACTAGGAGGTAAACGCTCTATTCGTTTTTAAATGCTGTTACGAAGGCGATTGATCTTGCTTTGGGTTCTTGAAGCTGTTTCACGCTCTCATCTGAAGCGCTGCTACAGAGCTGTGGAGAAGGACCTGACCTGGATGACTGAGCATCTTCACAGACCTTCTCTATTATCTCCCTGACAAAACAAACCCAACGCTCACAGCACTTGTTGCTTATCAGATATGACTCAGCCAATTCTCCAACTCAAGGAAGGTTTGTGACAAGAAAGAAAAACATGGAAGGTGAAATACAAAAGATGGTTGTGCCGCTTCGATTTGATTCTTTGTCTTATACACTCTGACAATATCAAATCACTGGAGTTTAAGAGTTGACTGTGATCATTTGCTGGGTTTGAGCCAAATTAAAGGATTAAATCAAAGCCTAAAAACGTCAATTTTTGCCGAGTTTGACTGTGCAGACCGTTTAATAATGAGGATTTAAATGTGGCACAGAGTAAAAGACACAGATCTTATAAATGACGACTCTGTTGTTTGTTCACTTTTAGCTGAAACTCGTTAGAAATACGTGTCCGTACTCTCTGACAGAGGGCAGACAAATAGGAAACAGATGAGACTATTAAAACCCTGGAACGTTTTCTCAAGTGTTGTAAGCATACGTTGTAATATCACTGCTGAGTCTACGGGGCCTCTTCTTGATTTGACACTTGGAGCTTCGCCCTGCGCTGCGTGCACGTCCCCTGCCAACGTCTTCCCAGTGACTTTGCTGCAGTGCCAAAGAAATAATTGGCTATAGAGAAAATATAAAAGAGGTGCATGTGTGTGTGTGTGTTCTGTTTGAGCGCAGTCATCGTCTTACCAGCCTCCAGCTCGTTGTTGTGCAGAGCCTCAGTGACAAAGTTCTTGACCTCGCTGATGGTGTACACCACAGTGGGCCGCTCCTTGACCTCGTGGTACGAGTTCTCCACCCGGTTCGACTGCAGGGTCAGGTAGTCCAGCTGCTCGTTGCTCACACCCGCTGCGTCCACGGCCACGGTGACGGCGTAGTCAATCACTAAGCCCTCCAACCTGAGGACACAAATAGAAACTCAAATAATTCAATATATGATGACTGATTGTCCTAATTGAAGTCTTCTTGTGAACTGTAACTTTAGATAGATGTAATGTGTCTCGTCTCAATGCAATACTGTTATAAAGAGGCCAATCAGCCTCGACTCCATAGTGTCATGACTGTGCAAAAGCATTTACATTAAGTTGACTCCTGAATATATTTAAATATTCTCACACCTTTCAAAGATCTTATTGTTTCCAAAGTCAAAAATTAGCTTTTAGTCTAAATTCTCATTTATTTTACTGTTTTACTTCTGCATTATTCCCCAGTCCTCTCTCTCTGGGTTCAAAATCTATATTCATTTTACATCCATGTTTTTACTCAGAGTGTTTCAAGGGTTTTTTTTGGCCCTGAGGCAAAAGGGACTTGGGGGCCCTGTATCAAACCAAAATTGTCGTTGCTGTGGACTAACGTCATCAGCCGTTGTCAGGGGCCACAGACAGTTGCTGACTTTGCCGAACTTGTTGTGACACAAGTGATTTTACAGAAAGAAAGTGGTAAACAAACGTCTCCTCGATCAGAGAGCAGTTCTCTAAGAAATCACTCCAACACTAGTGTGATTTAACATCAGACTTGTGAAAATAGTTGTTGAGCGCTCACAGATGACTGATGACTGCAGCGATCTACTCTCGCCTGGAACGCAGGAGTTTCAACCATATAGGTCAGAAACGGGCCGAGTCAGCAGAACCATCAATATAACATCATAATAAACCTGGAAATCTCACAACAGATTCCAGACTGTGGAAAAAAAAACATATATCTGCCTTTATTTGACGACTGGGAACTCTCCACTCTGACCTAGTTTGTGGCAAACAGCTGAGCACGAGCCAAACCACAGTCGGCCCCGTTCAGACGGAGATCCTTATTTTCCCCCCTCTAGCTTCACACGCTCACACAGAGCTGTGTGGCAGCATCACTGCACCACTGTGGGGAATTGTAAACATATTTCTCACTGTACAGAATGTTATCACCAAATTCCATAGTATAGTTAACAAGTAAATCAAAATAAAAACAGCAAAGCGTGTTTAAATTCATATAAACTTTACTTTACTTTGCTTTTTTACAGCAGTCGGTGACAACTAAATCATTTCATTATAATTCTTAGTAGTACTATTTTAAAGTGATTGTACTTCACTTGAATGATTCCATTTTCTGCTATCTTATAGTTTTATCCCGTAATATTTCATTGTATTCTCACTTGCTGAGCACTTTATTAGGAACACCATTATCATACAGATCCCACTAGATTGTGGGTTTTAACATTTAATTCTGGTTTCAGGTTGTCACAAACCAGAATTCATAGTTTCTGTCAGCTGCATATTGCTGCTGCACACATCTACCACATTCCATAGGATTTCTGTTGGACTGAGACCTGGTGTCTGGAGGCCGTTTAAGTTCACTGCACTCATCGTCATGCTCATGAAAGCAGCCCACAAAAAAACATGCCCCACACCATCAAACCATTACCACCGAGTTGACGGCTTGGTTTCATGTTTTTAAAATCAAATTCTGACCCTGTCGTCTGCAGCCTCAGCAGAACTCATGATTCATTACACCAGTCTCCATTTTTTATTATTCAGCGGTCCAGTTTTGGTGAAGCCTCTGAAGCCTCAGATGTCATGGCCTCAGAGTTTGCTGTGCATTCAGATGAGAAGTAAAGCATGGTTATCTGAGGGGCTCTGGATGAAACCTTATAGACTTGAGACCTTTGACTTTAAATTGTAAAGCTGCAATTGTGATGCAAGAATTAATTTTTCCACTGTGGTATTATTTCACTTAAATAAAATGATATTTGGATACTTCCTGCACTGGTCGTACAGTTGCACAAGAAACTGTCCCTGTCTTTTTAAATTCCTCCTCTTAACCTCTTTTCTCTTTCTCTCTACACTTCCTCCTCCTCCTCCTCCTCCTCTTCCTTCTACTCTCAGCCCGTCCACCAGAGGCTGATTGGTGAGGTCGTAAAGCCACAATAATCGTCTCTATAGATAAACAGCTGCTCGCTCGGTTTGGGGCCATCTGATCCCACTTAACAGGTGAGTGACCGTACTAAGACCATTAACACAGGCAACTAGTGACACACCTCAACACGTGCCCACACCCACAGGTAAACACAGAGTGGGATGAAGGTGATGCCACACACACTCACTGCTGCAGCTAAGGAAATGCTGTGGGGGATCTCGGGGCTTAGATACAAGACAGGACAGGAAGAACAATTCAAGGTGAAACTGCCTGAAGTGATGACTCACCCTTGGCTGTCCTGAGGCCTGCATGAAACACAGAGAAGCTGTTAAACCTCTGCAGAGAGCGGAGAAGGTGTTGAAGCTACAAAGTTTGGTCGTAACGTGAGGACACGGCAGGGAGAGACTGACCTGAAGTCCAGCACTGACACACTCTTAAACCCAGGAAGACCCTCCAGAGCGTCTTCGATCTGCAAACACAAAGACGATCGGGCATCAAGAGGCGAGCCGCAGCTCGTTGTTTCTCAATAAATCCTTCAAGGAGGTTTTTGAGCAAGATTATGCAAAAACTACTGGACGGAATATCATGAAACTTGGTGGAAGGATGGGGGTCTTGGTCAGGAGAGAGCCCATTAAATTTGAGCAGAGATCCAGGGGGACGGATCGAGAACATTCCTTGACATTGTAAGACGGGAATTCTTTCAGCATTTTCCCAGAAAATAATTAAAGGTTGGATTTAAGGGGATTGTTGGGCCTTGACAGAGGTTTGCACTCTGCTGAGTTGTCAGCAGAATAATGCAAAAACTAAAGAATCAATTTCCACCAAACTTGGTGAATGGATGGAGCCTGAAGAACCCAGTTCATCAGATATTTCCACAATAAGAGCCAGACAATCATGTTGACGATGGTTCGGCCTTGTTTGGCCTTTTGTCTTCGTTTGGCAAAATAAATCAGATTTCTTGGTGCAAAACAGCTCAAATTTTTCCTCAAGAGGCGGACTGCTGCACCATGGTCACCTTGAACAGAACTCTAATTTGTCCCCAAGGTCTGTTACATCGAAACTCAATGACCGGGTTTATTTAATCCACCAGAGAAGGAGGATGCCAGAAAACCTCCACTCCCTCATTCACTACCTCTGAGTCTCCGGTCCCTGTCCCTCCACTTCCACATCGACTTTAATCCCTTAAGGCTCGTGAGCTTGTGTGTGTGGTGTAGTGTATGAAGGTATTCAAATCCTACACGTACAACAAAACGCTGCAGAAAACAAAATTTTAGGTGATTAGGAGGAATGAGTTCCTTTAAGGATATAAAATCATGTGTTTAAGATGCGATAGTTAACAAGCTGTGTGTCGAGCTGACTGCTGGGGAAAGCACAGAAATTATTTTGCTGAATTTTGGGAGTACCCGTAAAAACCCCTGAAGTCGCCCTAAGGTGAGTATCTGTGCAAACATATGAAAATTTTATCTTTTCCCAAGATGCATCATTAAGCTGTATTTTTATCACATGGTTATTTCACCAAAAACAAACCTGTAACATAAAATCTGTGGTCTCTGAACCCCGGCCTCAGAGAGGTTGGGTTTAACCACCACTGCAGTTAAAGTGCACGTTATTAAAACTAACAATGCATCCATCACAGAACATAAACCTGGACATACAGCAGCTCCAGACCAGAGCCAACATACAGCAGCAGAGATGGAAGTCGTAAGTGCGACAGACAGGAGGAGACTGAGCCAGACACAAACCTTCTCTGCCAGCTGTCGACTGAGCGTCTGGAACTGGAGGCTGACTGGATCCTCCAGCTCTTCGCTGTACGTCTGCCCGGTCAGGACGATGCTGAGCTCCACCACCTGCTCCAGCATGGCGGGCGTGGGAGGCTGCACGTCGATGTCGTTGTCCAGCTGCTCCACGAGAAGGAGACACAGTTTAAAATGCAATGCAGGTGCATATATACATCGAGTAAGAAGTGTATGGATGTATTTGTGTTTACTCACCGTACTCTCCTCCACATCTGGGGTGATGATGGCTGCATCCACCACCTCCTCCTCTACCTTAGCTGCTTCTTCTGATTGGTTGAGTTCATGTGCAAAAAGAAGATGCCAGTTTATTCCAGGTGGAAGAGGTTAAACCATTAGTAACTACATCCTGTGTGTGTGACAGGTACTAAGATGGACGGGGTCACTGACCTAGTTTAGGAGCTTCAGTAGTTTTTGATGCGTCTGGTGCCGGAGTGCTGTGAGAGAGAAGAGATGCAACCAAACTCACATCACTTATAATAAAAAGAAAACACAGCACACAGGCTTCAAAGGGGATAAACACTTAGTGAGAGATGAGACCGACATTGTTTCCTTGACGTCTCTTTGTCAACAATGAGAAGGCAAACACACGACAGTAAAACATAACAACATCCAACAGGGAAATAAAATCAAACACAAACTGATAAACAGGAGAATTCTGAAGTCGTGTTGTAACTGACGAGTGTGAACTTGAACAGGTTTGAGTGAAAAGTCTCGACTAACTCACCTGCACATATTTTGCCAGGACTTGGTGGGTTCACTACATTCAACGATAAAAACAACACATTTACAAAACTCTGATTTTATGAGTTTGGAGATCACTGAATCAGCGTGTGAGCACATGGGAAGTTTTACCTTTTCAAAGCAGGCCGTGACATTCTCTGGAAAAGTGAAGAATATTGTTTAGTAACAGTATCAGCCGCCTGCAGAGATGTTTATTATCCCCTGTGCTGCTAATATACAAACTTTTATTAATTCATTAGTCATCCACAAACCTTTCTAACCAGAGCCTCGTGCTCCTCGGACTGGCTGAAGTAGCCGCCAACATTTTGTGCCGTGGCTGTGCCTTCCTGGCACTGGCTCATCCAGCTTTGGTACTCCTCTTGCTCCGGGAGTCGGTCCCAGAAGATCTTGAAAGCCTCCCATATGGTCTCCTGGCACACTGGTCAGAGCAGGGAAACACAGCATCCACTTAAAACTAAGTTACACAGCACATTTAGAGAAACATTTTCCATATTATTTTTCTTTCTACAGCTCGGTAACGACTGTAAGTGCACTTTAAATTCTTGTAAAAGGCATTCAAGGTTAGAATCCCCACTCTGCCGCCTCATTAGTGGAGGAATAGTATCAACTTTTAAATCGTTCAAACAATGAAAGACCTTTTTTGCAAAAATATATATCATCAGCTCAAAGTGCTGACGCTCATATCTAACTCTGCCATGTTTGCATCATGACATAACCCCCTTTTCATGAGTGAGCCGACTGGGCACAGATCCAAAGTCGGTGCATGGACATATGCTCGGATCTCCTCCTCTTATCAACGCCGTCTGGGAAACACGAGACTCTGGTGGTCACCTCTAGATCCAAATTGTACTTCTTACATAACAAACGTCATATTTACACCTTCACAGACGCACATATGTTGAATGCTCCTCCGCACCTGGTGCTCTGCAGCTCCATGTGCTCCCGTCTCAAACACAGATAAATCAAGCCGTGTATTAAATGTCTAGATTCTTTACTTCATGGAAAGTAGAGATACCACAATGCATTTGGAATGGCACTTAAGTGGTTAAATTACTTTATTTTTGAATGTGCTTGTTGTTTGAACTTACTTTTATTTTCTAAGTCTCCTTGTATCATTTCATTTGATGTTTTAAATGATTTTATAAAAAAAATAATGTTTTTAATCGTCTTGTAAAGCACTTTGTAACTTTGTTTTGAAAGATGCAATATAAATAAAGATTATTATTAGTACTGTATTCATACACATACGCATCATCATCAAAATACAAATAAAGTATTAAAGTACTGAGTATTAAAGAAAATGGACCACCCATTGTTATTCACATCATTTTAGATTTATTTTTGGTTACTGATTAGTTTCATTTCAGTTACTGTTGTGTTTGGTGAAGTTGGAACTAATTTGAACAACTTAATACACAGTTTGTTCATTTATTCTATAATAACGAACTATTTATAGTCTTTGTTGTGATCTCAACTGTGTTTGGGGCCAGAACCTCAAAGCGACACAAGAATTTCATACCAAAATTGGAGGTGGTTGAGGTGCATTGTGGGTAACGTAGGCACTAGATATTGATAAGATATCTCTGATTCTGCTGCATCGATTTTTTTTTAACTACCTTCAATGTTAAACTGGTTGAGTTCTTAATTAAACCTCAACTAAGTATCTACTGACTGATGTCGTCTGTAGTTTGCTTGAAGCGACTGTGAAGAGACACATCTGTCAGAAGTAGACCACAGTCGGTTTGAGTGTAAATCTCATCAGGCCTAATTGCTCCTGGTGACCTCACAAATGTCAAAAGGTTAAAACTCCTTCCTATTGGACATTTCACTCAATGAACAATCTCACTAGATCAATGTATTTATATTGTTAGACTGTTTCTCTGCACTGTGAGCTCCTCTCCTTTATCTCACCTCTCAGATGAAAGTAGCTCAGATGGTTTGAAACAACCTGCTGCGCTGTCTCCTGCGCGCACAGTTTGACTCCACTCGGGAAAAGGACGTTCCTCTTCTTTCGAGAGACGACCGCGTGGCCTTCGTGTGATGCCTTCACATCAGATACTCGAACGATGTGTGGAAACGCCACCGGCTCCTGACTGTAAGGCAGATTGAATTGTCCCATAGAGGAACCTTCCAGTGTTGCACCTGGAAAAGACGTTTAGGACTTTGAATCTGAGAAATGGACCAGATACTGATGAGTGCAGAATTTAAACGTACCTGTCCTTATGTCCAGAAATATGATGAGAAAACTGAATGCAACAGGATAAAAAACACATTTCCACGACACGAAACTCATATTAAATCTGTAGTTGTGTTTAAATCCGTAGAAATGGATCAAGAAAACTTCCTCTCAAGTCGTTCAGCAGTGATGTGAAAAGCTTCTTACAAGTTTGCATAGTTCAAAAATGTCCAGACATTGAAAAAAAAACTAAAATCCCAGAAGCCCAATGCTAGAAATCGTTTGACGATACAATCGCATACTGGTTTCCTGCGTTCCCCTGAAGAGAGGTGTGTCCCATGGTGCGGAGAGGACAGCTCCTGGCTGAGGGAAGATAGGCAGATGGCCCCCGGAGAGAGAGAGGGGGGGGGCTTTTTTTTAATGCTCCCTAATCCTGTTTACTCTAAGCCTTTTAGAGGAGCTAGTTAGTGGAGCAGTGCTGGTGAGGGAGGGCGCTTAGTGTGGAGAAAACACTGAGGGAGAGGAGGTGAGAAACGCTGCAGAACCATAAACAAGCACAGGAGATGCAGCACACATGGATATTATGACAGAGGACTGACTCTTGCATGGGATTAAAACAGGAGTTAATGTGTTCTGATGGAAATCTTAAAGTCTCCAACCCTGGTCGTTCAGTTTCACGGGGGAGTCCCAGCCTGACAAACGCCTGCAGACATCATAATGACTCGTGTCTGGTGCTGTAAAACAATCACTTATTCCACTGCAGCATAAAAGACATAAAGTGCTGATCTGGCAGCTGCAGACGAGTTCAAGAATTGCTTCACCTCAACTTCTTTTTATAATCTGGCTCGCAGCTGTTCCCACACACAGATCTCTGCCACCATAGAAATATACGTATAAGAGCAGTGAACGTGCGTAGGTTCGGCAGCCGAGGCATCGGAGCCGAGCAGCTGAAATCCTCTCAGTATGTATATAAGTATGACAGCAGAGAGAGAGTCGCAGGCTTAGACGACCTTTGACCTCTGACCCCTTCAAATGGGGTTTATCCTGTTTTTAAAAAGGGAAATCAGCCTCCTCTTATCTTTAAGCCACTGTGGTGCGAACGTGAAGAGACAGAGAAGAAGGAAGAGAGTAATGAGAGTTAACAAACTTAAGTGTGAAAGACAATGGTGGCGTCATCATCATCTCAGACGATGAGTTTATAGTGTTGTTTCCTCAGAATCTGGCTTTTGACGGCAAAACATTTACAAACAGTGGAGGATGATGGGAACATGGTCAGACTTTGATGTTTATCTCATTCAAATTAAAATTCACTCATCTACTCACCGCTGTGCCGATGGAGGGTGAAATGTTTGAGTCCACAAAACACTGTTGGAGTTTCAGGGACAAACAGAGTTGCAGCCAAATCAAAAACAATTGAAGTAAATGCCGACATCTTTTAAGTCCCCTCCGTACAGACACAATTATTATTCAATCTGGGTTTTAGTTACCAATCACTGATCGTCTTGTTCTGAAAACAAAGACGGAAAAGACATCAGGGCTACGGTGAAATATTGTCCACTTGTCTCTCTCCGTCCACAGTAAACTAGATGTTCAATGTAGCTACAAAGAAAACAAAGACAAAATAATAAGAGATTTCTTCTATAACTTTTAATACAGCATCGAAACCAAACACATTTTGGAATCAGCTCCCATACATTCATCCATAAGATCTACAAAAACAGATCAAGGACTTTGTAAAAGAAAACTGCAAGATGACCGGAACTCATCTCTGTGGAGAACAGTGGAGTTGAAATGAAACTTTATGGTCATCACAGATCTTAATTAAGCAGTTACTGTTACGTGCCAGTGTATGTGCACCGCTCAACGTGTTTAACAAAAGGCAATTTTATTAAAAGAAGAATTCATTCACTTATACATTTGATGTATGAAATAAAATAGTTTGCGTGAACATAACACACATTTACAGAACATCTACAGTGAATACTGTAGCTACTAGTTTATTAGTTTCTCTTAATAGCAGCAATTAACTTGCACTCGTTAAGTTTGGTCAAAAAAAGAAGCCATATCCACGTCAGCATCAAGAACATCTCCAAACACGTTTTTAGATTTTTGTTGATTAATCAATGGGAAAATAACGAGCAGTTGTTTTGATTGTTGCTTCGTGGTTTCAGTCATTTTTTCAGGCAAAAAAAGACAAAACATTTCCCAGTTTCCGCTCATTGTTTCTTCTTCCCTTCAGTTTCTGAGACAGTCACGACAATACCTTTGGATCTAGGGCTGAACAGGTAATATGATGGCATCAACGTGGGCTTTAGTGTTCACTGGAATTTTCATAATATCGCTTAAGAAAACAGTCACTGGCAGATTAATTGATGGTGATAATCATCATTGGCTGCACACTCGTAATATTATGTCAGTTGTGTTAATACATTAATATCTTGGTTTAAGGGTAATTCAGCTGATACCATGAGTCTTAACGTGATTTCAATGTGAGGCACCGTGTGAGCGAAAGAGTCCAACAAAGGGGAAATGATGTGAGAGTGTTTGGTCAGATTCCAGTTCCTGAGGTTTCAGTGGGGAAAACCTAAAAAACGAAAACCTATATTTACACTATGGCTGCGTTTTAGATGCACGGATGCAAAACAGAGCAGAATCAGAACAATTCTAACATGAAATGTAAGTAAACTCAACTAAAAACTTGTGGACAATTCTGATGACGAACTACAAAATATAGAAAAACAGATACAAAAAAATGCCTTTTATAAAACATCTTGCAGCATAAGAACAATCAGTAAAAGGTATCGGGGTGTACAAACATTTGCATTTCTGGATATAATCGACTTTGTATTTCTGGTTGTGTGGACAGCTACGTGGTGATTGTGAATTTACTGGTGCCTTCATATTCAGTCACAGGAGCCAGTCGAAGGGTTCCAAGGGTTGTTCAAGTTTATGGTTCTAACAACTAAATCTAACCTCAAAGTAGTATCTTCAGTTCACGCTGAATTGTCCGTCGCTCAGTATGAGCAGTGATTTATAATAGCTACAGGGAATGTGACCTGCTCCTGCGTCTATCTGTTACTGTCCAGATTCTGCCATCGGTAAAGGTTAAGTACCAGGTCTCTGATTTCGTCTCGTTTCCTCCGAACCTGCTGCCGTGGGAACCATCGCTCGAGGCGTAGGGGGATATCGAAGTGAACCACAGGGTCCTAGGAGCAGAAGAAGTTTCTCACTGTGAACATGTCTTGAAATAACTTTAATTTAATAATTCTACGTGACTACGTGAGCCCCAGAAAACACAGACGACTCTTTACCTTCAAGAAACTCTCGACGTACTGCAGCAGGTAAAGGCCACAGTCGCTGCTGTTGTCTTGACGGGGAACTTGACAGTGTGAACCTTTCATCTGATCAGGACCAAATTCCCTTGATGATCCACGACGGACCTCCCACTCTGACTGCAAGTACCTGAGAGACATGTATATCATCTTAAAACACACCAGTACATTAAACACACTAATACTGCTACAGGAAGTTACTCTGCCACACTTACTCCCGTAAGAGTTTGAAGACTCGCTCGTGAAGAGAGAGTTTGAGGGAATCCATGATGAGGATGCACGGCCTGCAGAGAGGAGAGGAAAATCTGTCATTCAATACTTTGCTCCTCGTTCCACATTCAAGTGTTATTCTGGGTTATTTTTCCACATGTCCAGGTTATTGTGGATACAGCTAGAAGCCAACAACACGCTCCGAATATCAGTTTCCTAAAAATGTCTCCCAAAATCCCTGGATCTGCCCCCTGATCCACATCTACACCAAAATGTAATGAGTTCCTCCCTGAACCATGAAACACACGTACACACAAGTTTTGTGGTAATCCGTGTGGTAGTTTTTGCATAATCCTGCTTACAAATAAAAAAAACAAGAAATGGACTGAAAACGAATCCTCCTTGTCGAGGTTATTAAAATTCACAACGTGTGACCAAGTTTGTACGGACGTGTGTTTTGAAATCAGTCCATGTAGTGTGTAAGTGTCCCCTGGACCTGGAGTTTTCTTCTTTAGTTTTTCTGTCGTACTTTATTGAGGACTGTGACTTGTAAATATACAACTACACTTAAACATCAGAAGAGGCAGAAAAATATTTCCTCAAAACCTTGTTCACATTAAATATGTAAGTCTGGAGCATTTGAGTGTTGATAAATATTCCCTCTTGAGAATTGTGTTACTTCACTGTAGCCAGCAAGGTCAAATAATTATACAAAGTCTGGACAAAACATCAAAATATGCACTTTAAAAACAGTTCACCAATTTAAGAGGAATCCATTTTATTGTTACTGATGATCAACTTATCTGTGCTTTATAAAAATCCTGTAAACAGTAAACATGAACACATAATCCTGGAGGGTTCATGTTAAAATCAAGAACAGCTCTCAATAAGCAGATGGTCCCAGTTGCAGCTGATAAATAAAACTCACACACTCACCTCTTGCAAACGACCCTTTTCTGGAAGGTTTTTTCTGTGCAGCACTGAAAACAAAGACACAGTTAGACTGAGAAGATCGGGACGAACAGATAAAGGCTCAGTTGCAAAAAAAATGTCTGCCAGAGAAAAATAGAAACACATTTTTATTAATTGTGAGCACAACACTGTTTTTTCTTACCACTGGACCAGGTGGTGTGTCCTTGGTGGGTTGCTCTTTAGTGTTTTCTAAAACAAGAAAAAAAAACCACAACCTTCAGTTTTCTCAATCATCAAAATAATCACAAAATCATTTCGATAAAAATATTCACAAAAAGTGAAGGGAAGTGACAAAGAAGCTATGAGTCACCGAGCCAAACCCACCTGTCTCTGGTGCCGCGTTGTCACTGGGGTTTTCTTGAGGTGGTGTTTCGGTGTTTTCGTTTGGACTTTTCGATCTCTGAGCCTCCTCCTGATCCTGCAACTTTTCTGTATCGTCAAGGCTTTCCGCCGTCTCCGAGTCTGGACCAAGCCAGGCCTCGAATTTAGGCTCATTCAGCCCATGAAAGCAAATGACGACTAAATACCAATGAGCCCTGCACAGACAGAGCACTGTGAGACGTAATGCGACATCAACAGCAACAAAGAACCTCACACATCTTCACGTGTTTAACTTACTCCTGATTGACAGGGACAAACAGGAAATCTTTTTTGAAGATGTCCACATGACGTGTCCATGTCTTCACCCGCTGGTGCCGCCTCTGCCTCTGACAGCTAACACAAAAATAAAGAAAGGGACACCAGGTTTAAACCTGTTTCACACGTCCAGACAAACGCCTGTATATCTTGGAAGTTTAAATGTTATGTTGCTACTCTATAGACTTGGACCTCTCAATAAAATTAGATTATCTTTCTAGTATTTAACATTGTACACATTTTAAGCTACAAGAGCACAAGAAGGATGCAGTAAAAATGAAATAAAGTAATTTATGTTTCATTGTCCAACAAAATATGAAGTTAAAGGGCAAATTAAACTGGTCAGATGAAATGATATGAGTTAGAATCTCAAGGATGTGAGGCCTCCATTTTGACTCCTGGAAGTTACTTAAGGTGATATATCAGAGTCGATCAGGTGGGAGACGGCCACAACTTTTGCCAGTGCAGACCGTGTAGACACCGAGCTTTGACTGCACTACTTACGAGTCACTGGTGGCGCCTTCGCTGGCGTTGTCCCTCCGCGTCAGCTGCTTGTAGAAGAAGCTGCTGAAGATGTGAGAGCGCTCGGCCACAGCAGCAGATGCATTGTGGAGGAGGTATCTGTGTCAAGAAACACATAAACACGATTGTGTCAAAAAATGCGGTTTCATCTCCACAAATCTCACGGGGAACCAAAAGCTGTCAGTTTGAAAACGTGCTACTTACTTGAGGTAAAAATCAATGATTACATCGTTAAGGAACTGCCCGCTGTCCAAGCACTGCAGGTCTTCCATCGTAACAGTTATTCCTCCTTTTAGTGGAGGAGGAGGAAACTGGATCAACCTAAAGAGATAAAAAGAATGATTCGACTTAAAGTGACCATAGATAACAGGTGAACAGTAACAGAACCATTAGGATAAGAGCTGGGAGCTGTCAATGAATACAGACAAATTGAGAAATGCTTCTCCGTTAACGTCTGTCTTAAATACAAGACTTCCTAGTCGCCCCTGATTACAAGAGAACTCGCTTTAAAGTCGCGGTATCAGAATCCAGAGAGAATTGATTGTGGGTCAATGAATCCTTAAATCTGTTTCATTCTAATTCCCAGAAGTGAATTCTAGTGGCAGAAACGTTGCTCATTTGGGAGCCAGATGCCATCCGCTGCTGGACCTTCCTGCACGAGAAGCTGCACATCAGACAGCGTAGGTAACTTGCCTGTGGGCGAGACCCTGGTGTTTATATTTAATCCAGCTGGAGTCTGGTTTACAGTGGGAAACGGAGTACGATCCTTTGGTTCGACGATGGCACAGTGTGTATACGGGGGTGGGTCCCTCCTTCTTCTTCTGCAGGAGGAAAATTTATATCATGAGAGCAAAATACACCTTGTAATAATTTACCACTGGCAGATCACATCGATGAGTGATTCCGCAGGGGACACAAAATAAATCAGATGGCAAGAAAGATGATCTACAGGCGAGGAAAGACGGACAAATATTCCTGCTATGCTCGTTGTTTTGAGATATTTCTTATTCTTTCAGAACTTTAAACACTGCTAGGAAAAACACTCAAGTATATATAATGCTTTTTTTCAGGGGTCAAAACGTTTGTTGACCATTTACCTCAGAGGGATGTTCCACTTCTTCTTTCTGATCCTCCTCAGGTTTGACTTCTGTCCCTGTGTCCTCCTCTGATGTCGTCTCCAGCTCCGGGAGCGTCTCTTTTTGCGCCTCATCCTCCGGACAGTTCTGCGGCGTGTTGTTTTCTTCTCTGTCAGAGTGTGAACCGTCTGCGTTAAGTTCAGGGACGGGGCTCCCGAGGCCCAGCAGACACAGCAGGTGTGAGTCAAGTCCAGTTTTTCTGATCAGTTCAATGCTTTCATCAAGACACAGAACAGGAGTCTGGACATCTTCCCAACCGCTGAATCTATCCGAGCCCAGGGACCCAAGAGATTGTTCATGTGTCAGACTGTTCAGACAGTCGATGTCCAGGAGGGAGCGTAATAAAGCGCCCTCCATTCCTTCTAGAGGATCTCTCAGCGTCAGCAGAATAAAGGGGCTGGCTGTGCCTATTAAAGTAAAAAGAGATTTACATTTAGTAAAGGGTGACATATCAAACAATACTGAAAATCTGTTCAGAACTATCAGGAGAGAAACCTGTGACATTTGTAAACTTGAACCACAAAAATCAAATCAGTCTTGGAGCCCATCAGCTATCGCCTGACATATTTTGGGACATTCATTGTAGACAGTGGATATAAGGGCCAAGTCTTCCGCTCGCTGTCTGAGTAGTTTCTTTAATCACACAGGTTGAAAGTTTCAGTGATACTTTCTGGTGTTTAAGGTCTTGACAACATTTTGGCTAATCTCTGTCAGCAGCTATCTGTATTTGAGTTTAGATAAATAAAAAACTGATAGGGTCTACACAGATTGTTTACCTGCGGACAACCAAAGCCTGTTCAAGTGTGATTGATCAAAACTAGAAACGGAAACTAGACGAAATCTTGTCCCTCGCTGACAGATTCTGCTTATTCTCAAGCAGAATGTGTTTATAGACATTAGCTACTCAGTAACATACAACCTTTCACAAAATGTAAAGGCAATTACAATGCGACTAAAGGAGACCACTCGAGGTGCCGACATGTCTTGACACTTAGATCGTTCCAGTAAACTCACCAGTGTCTGTGTTTCCATCTTGTTCAACACACAGTTTCCTGAGGTCACGCTGTATTTCAGCTGCAGCAGTTTCTGACACACAAAACACGAGGACAGCAGCAGGGGAAGGATCCTCATCACTGTCAAAGTTAATCGCACGCATTTCCATTTCCTGCTCCTCCCAGACACTGTACCTCCTCAGAACTTTGCGGTCTAACGTTAACATCAGCTCCACCTGTTCAGTAGAGTCTGAGGAGAGGTGGAGAGCAGGTTAGCTTCACAGCGTTGGTACCAGAAGATCAATGTTACATCTTTATGTTAAGCACACTCAAAATAATGCCTCACACATACAACAGGTATACAACTCGCATGTTCCTCTCACCAGCAGTAAAAGTATTCTTACAAAACTCTTGCAACCAAACAAAGTCAGTCCTGTTGTGCATTAAGTTATTAGGATTTATCCTCTGGGGACCTGGAATATCTGTAGGAAATTTAACGGCAATCCATCCAACAGTTGTCAATGTCAACCTAGTGTTTGTACTTGAGGTAAAGTCATTAAAACTCCTCCTTTGGGAATGTGAACATCTGTACAAAACGTTAATGGTAACCCATCTATTAGAGATATTCTGATGTGGCCCAAAGAGATGAAATGACCAAACAACACTAGCATTCTGCAGAGCTGATGAATGTAGGTAAAAATAAATATATAAGTGCAAACTTATTCTTGTCGTCGAGGCCAAAGTATTCAATATTTTGTCATTTAACATTGTTCAGTCTTGAATTGTTCTTACACACATGGAGCACCTAAGGTCGGAGAAGGAGAGATTTCACAGGCTTAGAGGTGAAAGTGCACAACGGCCTTGAGGGTCTAATCCAAGAAAACACACTCACACTAACACTCACACACTCACACCCTCTTTACTCTCTGAAATAGACCACTAAGCTGGGGGAGGATGTTGTGCAGACAGCATGACCAAAACAAGATGAGACGGGTTCCTCTTGGACGCGGGTTTATACGATCCAGACCAAAGGTCAAAGTCGGGTCATGGCCTCTTTGAAAACATTGTGATTATACTTGAGTGTTGAGGAAATGTCCACATTACCTTTCAGAGGGATGATGATTGTACGGTCTGCCATCTGTGAAAGGAGAGGATAAAAACATGTTGCACTTCATGTCCTGAAAGGATGATATGAATTCAGCAAAATGCATAGATTTGTTCAGTCAGGTTACCATGATGTTGCCATTTGCTTTCGCTTGGTAAACTCCACAGTGGAGGGTGGAGAAGGATATGCTCATGCAGGTGTGGTCGATGCTGGGGGTGGGAGAAAGTGCCACCGTAACAGGACGCTCTTCTACAACTACACGCAGCACCTATGATACACAAGCAGTTTGAAATGGTAAGACGTTTATCACCCGGTCAAACAGACAATAACCTGGGAGTAAGGTCAAGCCTCGTGGTTTGGGAGGATATTTGTCCAAAGTCACTTCAGTGCTCGCACAACCACTATGTGTTGGAACTGGACATTTCTAACTTTGGTGCCATCAAGTGGCAGCACACAGAAAAACATGGTTGACGTCGATGAACGCTGCTGCTTTTTTTCACGTATCTTGTGATGAAAACATCTGACGACCAAACCCTCTTAAGAATTTCTTGTTATAACCACAAAACTTCATCATTATAGCAAGAACAACTTTTCCTACCCTGAAAACATAAAAGCAGTAAAACAAACTGAATCACTTTTTCAGACGACATTTTCCTTTAGCAATGAAGCATTACAAGGGTTTATCATTAGTAAGAGGACTCTTCTGTAGCACTTTGTCAAATCCTGTCAGCGAGAAACTGAACTGAAGACACATTTGTGTTTTTTCCAAGCAGCAGCTTCTTCTATCATCCTTTCTCCATATGTCTGATCTTAATTCATCAGTGTCCCTGTAGTTACAGTGTAGGATTATTTTGTTTCTCAAATGTGATGCAATGTAGTTGGGTCAGGATGTCCAAATGTATTGATATACTGCCTAAAAACGTGTATTTTCTTCAACAGCCATTTTTACAACTGAAACTGAGCTGGGGCTGAAATGTGGGGTACCAGCATCGTCATGCATCCTGTCGTTAACTTTTTTCATTCATCTTCTGGAGTTCGTAACCAACAGTAACATGCTGCTAAAACTAGATGAGTGAATCTGTTGAGAATCAAATGAATTTTCCTTTCACGATATTCTATATATTCATTATTTGTACTCTTTGTATTTACAATATATAGGATCTTTCTCTTAAGTGACTCATGCCTGGTTTAACCTTGACATTATCTAAGTGGCTGTTACACAGGCAAAGCATTCTCATTTGTTACAGTCAATTAGTGAGTGGTAAACAGGATCCCCTGTGGTGAAGTAAAACCTCGGGCATCCGCAAGATGTCTCAATAAAACCCTTTGTGATGTCATGTTAATCTGGGCAATAACTCAGCTTAGTTCAAAAAACCTGTGCAAGGTCTTTACAAAGAAAAAAAGGCAGATTCTGCACATTAAAAAACTAAATTTGTATTCTCCAGTTTATTTTATGAAATGTGTGGATGTGGATAAAATACTGTACAACAAAGAGACATATTCTGCCAACCTGCAGGTCCTGTAAGTCACAATCATCTTGTCTGATCACAGCCTCCTGAAGCAGATGTTCCTGTATAACTGTGTGGATCGGTGGGCTGCAGTGCGGCGGAACGTCACCGCTCTCCTCATCATCACTGGACAGCACAACTGAAACAAAAGCATGAAGAAAAGAATGAGTGGGATTTTTACTTAGAAATCATGCTTTTTAAAAAATAAAAAAAGTAGTCCCAAGCACATTAATGCGCTTATGTGACACAGCACGAGGGGGGTGTAATGTGCTTTGTAGGGGAGCACGGGTGGTACTAATCCTCAAAAAGACAATGTGGAAGTTTTAAAAAGAGGAATCACAGCTGCTAATGCGATGAAGGACACACACATACACGTACAAAAGACAAACTAAAAGATGCTTGTAAACAATAAAAAGTTCAGGTTTAGAGGAGGAGCTAGCTTCACACTGACTCACTTGGGTCAGTAGGGCTGCTTGTCTTGGTTGTGCGGTCTTGGCTGGAATCTCGATGTCTTTGGGTGTCGATCATGTCCCCGGCCTCCAAATTAGGGGCAATGATCGGGAACAGAACTTCTCTTCCATCATCCCCTCCCACAGTGAACTGTACAATGGTACGGTCCGCGTTCTCAGGATCTCCATCTTCTTCACTCTCTTCCACACCAACATCAGCTGGGCCTGGTGCTCCGTCTCTTCCATCTTCTCCATTCAGACGAAGAACGCTCTTGCGGTGCCTTTTGGGGCTCACTGTTCCATAGCGCAGGGGCCCTGAAATGTTTCTTTTTCTCTTCTATCAGGACAGCACAGAATGCAATGTGTCGTTTTTGTTGTGTATTCACCAGACAAGTCATGCAGATACAGAACATTCTGAATAACCATTGTTTATGTTTAGGTACGAGCGGAGGGAAGACTTTCAAAATAAAGATCTTTAAAAATATGTATGTAAAATAGGTACTGTTGTAAAACTTGGTAACCTGCTAAAATGCTAAATCTGGTCATAAGAAAAATAATCTTCTGATGAGTATTGTTTTAATCTGCACTGTTATGTTCATTGCACCCCTGGAGAACAGCTGTGAATGCTACAGTCCCACAGACTGTATATAACAAAGGACAACATGGCAGCTCCCCAAAAGTGAAGCCAAAATGTCTTGATCACCACCCGGTGGCCGGCTGCAGTATCGTTCATAAAACAACACTTTTGTATCAGATATTTTAGCTTCATCTCTCAATAGTGGGAGGAAGTGGAGACCCATCGTCCAACTTTATATCTGTTGGCTCATATAACTCTATATCTTTTTATATATACAGTCAATGGACAGTACTGATATCAAGGAACAAGACGGATCTCAGTTCTCTCACAGGTGATTTAATGTCTATTTAATATATATCACCCAAACTTAGATATTTTCTCACCACTGAAAGAGATTTTTGTTGGTGTTTATAAGGCCAAGCATAGACTGATTAATATCTGTGGATTTTTTGTTTATTGGCTGGATGTAAAACATTTTGCAGTAAGTCCATGTTTTTATACATTTATTTGGTTGAACGGAAGCTGCTGCTGCTTAACATCAGTGTGATGGTTCTAGTTTCAGGCTTGTCCAATATGAGAGTATTATGGAAATGACTCAAGGGCTCATTCAAATCATGAGGCTGAAAATTTGGTACCATGTTTGCATGACAGGGGCTTTTCTTTACTGCCTTCTCTGTGAATGGGTTGGTTTGGTTTAATTCTTGGTGAGTTTTAAAGCCTTGTCTACAGGACCCACCAGAACTTCTTTATCCGGATCAGTCCACTTCTCCTTGATGATATTTGGCGAAAACTCATCACATCTTGTACTCTCTGCAGGCTCCCAGCTCACCGACAACCCACAATCTACATCAGACACAGAAACAATAATCAGCCTCTCAGGCTGAAATAAACATGTATGTGACAACTAACACAAAGAGATTTTCTCTCCTCATAGTAAAAATGTGGCTTAATTATGAACTCTGTACATTTGGCTTTGTTTTGTTTAGAACAACTTTAAAGTGCAGCATTTGTTTGTTCAGTCTGGAGGTAAGGTCAGGATAGTCAATACACTTCTCTGACTGGGAGAAGCCTTCAGGGACAGTTGAGAGAACAGCAAGGTCGGGGAAGAGTGGAAAAAAAGATGGGTGGTGCTTTCCAGGGAGTTGGACCGATAATCGATTGAAGGCTAAAACCAACACCGACAGAATAACTGTGTGAAGTGGTGGTTAGCATCACATAAATAAGCAGGATTCTTAATTCTTTATGGGTTTACTCACCTACGACTTCAGCAAATGTGTAGCTTTCTCCGTTGCTCTTGCCTATTATCTCCTCCTCGATATCTTTGTTTTCTTCTTTGTCCTCTTCAGAATCAATATTCTGTGACCTTCTCCTGAGTCCTGACCTGAAGAAAAATAACACCATGTTCTGATTATGCTGCACACATTATTCTCATTTTCACAAAGCCCAGATGAAGCGGTGTAAAATGTAATTGCCAGGACCTTTATATACAAAGACTGTAATTAATCACAAGACATCCAAGATAAAACACAAATACAGAAAAAAAACAAAAGCAGAAATATATTTGAACCAGAACCTCGAGCTGTGAAATCCTTCTGTGCGGTATTGTTCCAAATAAAATCAAGTTTTCTGCCTGGAAAATACAGAGAGCCAAGGATGCAGCTGGCCGAGCCAAACACCATTAAAATGTCATTTCTGCTTAAACGAACAAAAAACCAGCAGATGAAATGGCTTTAATAAAAAAAGCCTCCTCCTGCTATTGTGGCTACTTTTGTTCATTATTCATCAACCACCTACCTCACTATCCCCACTTTTGAAGTTTAGTCTGGTTCTTGAGCAAATATCAGAATCATACGTCAGACAAGAGACGGACTAAAATGAAAATAATTTGAATGAGCTGACAAGCTTTTTGTGGAAGTAGAGTCCATTTTCTGACTCATTATTCATAGTCAGGAGTTTATGACTCTGCGTCTCCCTTTGTCTTCTGAAGTTGTCCATCATTTGGATTATTATTATCATTACTGTAGAGCTGCTGGAGGCCCTCTGAAATAAAGCTGTGCAGGATCCACAGGTGGAACCGACAGCCACTTGACACCCTGGAGCCAAGAAAGTCTTGATGCCATTTAGCTATAATACTAAAGATGTCCCTGAGCTTCATAAACATTAACTGTTTTAGTATTGTGGTCGTGATATCTTTAGGTTTCAAAAAGTTAAATTAATAAACCATGACACATTATCTCAACAACTACAGACCAGGGTGTTTGTAGAAAGTTCCACAGTCTGGTCTTGGCCTTGTTTGTAATTATGTCTGTATTGTTGACAAAGAACTACAACACACAGAGACATTACAAAACAATGCTCTTCAAAAAAACAGCAACATTTTATTGAATTTTGGACTTTTTAAGACAGAAACTCAGGAGGAGAATACAGAAGGGACGGTTATATACCACCTTAATCTATAGCTCCCCCTGGCTTTACAGCGTTTTTAAGTGATTTTCAGCTCATTGTTTTAACTGTCTGGTCTGTAACCACTCACTGTTCACCAAAGATTCTGCACCAAACAGCAGACAGGTGGCATCGGTGTATGAAGTTGTTAAAGAGCCAGATATTTCCCTCATGAGTTGGCAGAGATGAAGACATAAAGAGACCGAATATTGGACAACACAACTCAATGAAGTCACAGTTTCAGCTACAAAATAATCCAAGCTGGTAAGAAAATGCAACTTAAACTGTTCCTTTCACAGTGTCTTCCTACCTTTGAGAGGGTGAGGAGGACGTCTGGCTGTGTTTAGACGATACACAGTTTCTCTTTTCCTCTCCATGATTGGACCTCAGTTCTCTGCAGACCCCAGGATCCTCTTTACACCGATCTCTCCCCTTCAACGTACTTGACATTTGTCCTCTGTTTCCTGGGGTATAACTCAGTTTTATTTTTTCCATGTAAGTCTTGCCAACATCTGTCTTGAGGACATCTGTCAGGACGAGACAGGGTTTCCTCCTGCAGGGCGAAATAGAAAAACATTTATTCACAGCTGTCTTAAAGCAGCGACTCCGTCTTCTCTGCAACATGGTGTCCCATCAGAGTATTCTGTCTTACCATTGCAGGTTAGTGTTTGTGTCTTACAGCTGATCAACAGGGAGGGGTCAACTACTGTAGATAAGCCGCGTGTGCAGTCATGATAAGCTTGGCCTTGAGTCAGAGAGCTTATAAGCAATGTTTAATTTTAGAGATAAAGCGTTTGCCATATTATTAAATGGCAAGTGTAAGGTGCTGTGCTCCCGTCCGAGGAATGTGCAAAGCAAAAGCCCAAAATTCCTGACGAGGACTGATTTTATTTTGACAGTTGACCGGGCCAACAAAGGGACAGGATTTCTCCCAGTAGGAGACAGACAGAAGGGACAGCTCTCCAATGAAGCAACCCACGCAAAACATTATATTAAAGGCCTTTTATGTTATTATAAGAAATGTAAAAAATGTGTGCAAAATGAATACTGGATACATTAGCACAGCATGTATTACATTACAGTACGAACATTGCATTTAGCTGACGCTTTCATCCAAAGCAATTTACAATAACTAATCTGTATCTGATAATCTTAAAAGATAAAGCAATGGGTGTTTTACGTTTGCCTTTCAGAAAAAAGAAAATCTTGAGTTGCCATATGTCAGAGTAAGAGAGAACTTAAGAAGATGATAAACTTTTTTACTCAGTCATGTGATTTAGCTGAGGGATAATCGAAGAAATAATTTTTCTTGATCTTCAGGGGGAGCACCCCATCTTGTGAAAGTTTAGGAAACTGCAATGTGTTACACAGGAAGAACCACTGATTGAACTCACAGCCCAGTTTACTGTAAACAACATAACACTATGGTGAGTTTCAGCTGATGGACAGATAGATATTTCAGTCTGCAATCAATAGTCTAGAACAGCTTGAATCTCAAAACTCTCTGGTCAGCAATCACTTACGTGGCCATTTGTTGAGTCACCATAGTTTCATGGTTGTGATCCAGCAGTGTGGATCCATTTTTATGCTCTGAATCACGATGTCTGAGTTTACTACCTGCAAATGCTGTCCAGGAAACCTGCCGAAAGGAAGGTAAACTGTGTGAGCCTGACTAATCCAGGATAGCCACATTATTAGCATAACATTTGTTAATGTGCTCAGACACAGAACAAAAATGTTGCTGTACCTGTCTGTCTAACTTCCCACACTCTGATGAAAGACAGATCGTGGATATTTTTAGTGGGCTTTCCATCTAAAATTCACAGTCGGGTTAGTTATCGTGCACAAGATGTACGAAATTAATGTAATTGTTTCAATGTGCAACCACAGCCAGTGCAAATGTACAAAGATTGCTTTTTTTTATTTGCAATCTATTATGTTGATTATTATCATGTTTAGCAAGCATGTGCATGAAGCATGAAGCTGTTTATCCAAATTGGAAAAACTGTGCTTCCAGTGGTGGTGGACTAAAATATAGCAGCTAGAATTGAAATAATGGTCAGTTAATTTTAAATCATAAGACACATAATTGGTCAAACAATGGATGCAACTTATGCACATTATTATACACATTATCTTAGCAAAAAAAGATGCAATTCATGCAGCAAACTAAAAGCTCTCTAGTTGCCATATGCATGCCATAAATACTGGATATTTCAAAAAGAATATCGGTCACAAATACCAAGTTATCCTTGTCAACACTAAATGGAATACTCAAGGCTCTTCTTTGATCCATCATGGTCCACGATGTGATAAGGCACAGCAAGAACACTGCAAGAGACACAAAGTCAAAGGTCATGAGCCTCCAAAACTGTATGGCATGAAATATAGAGAAAAATCAATTATCTAAGCAACAACATAGGTACAACATTTCAGTAGGTAGCTAAACCAACATGGACATAGATAACATGTGAGAGGAAGACTCCATAAATCTTTTGTATTCATTTACTACTCCAAAAATTACTCCAAAAAATGATAAATTAATCTTATTAATGACAATGAGCTAGGCTTTGCTCAATGGCTAAAAACGCATACAGGAAATCAAACCTTCGTTCAATGTAACAACAGTATGGTGTTTTAAATCTTATCCATCATTCGGTGCAGTAAATGATCTGTGCCACGTTTGTTTTGCATCATGACAACAATCTAAAATAAAGAACTAACTTCAGAGAAACAGAAAGCTGAGGAATCATTCCAAGATGCTTGGAAAAACCTACAGCCAAGCGCTGAGAAATGCTTTGTGCAAGTGTAATTAGCAGCATTGGTGCTGTTTTAAAGTTGTTGATGGGAGTTTTTCCTGTTTGCTGCACTTTGTGAGAAATGATGGATAAAAACAGTTCGTTTCAGCGTATTTGAAATGATCTCAACTTTACTTTAAGTGCCTCAAACTTTTGCACTGTCCTACACACACATGTACATATTTCAAAGTAAGCTAAGCATTTCCTATGCTGCATCTACCACCACGGAGAGATCAGATCACGTGAAACTAAGCTCTGTTGTTTTGACACCGATCAGACAATGCAAACTAAATCTAAAAGTACCAGCTTGTAGTTCACCAGGCGTTTCCAGAACTAGCAGATTACCTTTGTCAAATGACGCTGGTGTTTATGTTGCACTGAAACACGCTACGTGTACCACACAGATCATGATTACTGACCCACTGTAACAACTAACCACGTGTTTCTAAAGTGTTTACTACAGGTGCTCGTGCACAAACTGTAAACTGTTTATTTATCAGGGAAAATGTTCATTAATCAACAGCAAAACGACAGTATGTGAGCCAGAGTTAGCTCGAAAGGCTAATTTCCATCTGTCGTCCGTGCCCAGCTTTTAAAACCTAAAATAAAAATTAAAAAAGACTCGAGTCAATATATACAGACTCATATTCAGGTCCAATGCAAATAAGACGAAGCACAACAAGTAAACCCCACAAAGACAAACCTGCAGCAGATTAGCTAGTTCATGTCAACACCGCTAACCATGATGGTGCTGCTTTATCTATTGTGTTAGCTTAAACCAGTGAGAGCTAACACTCACCATGTGTCGGGCTTCACCTTGTTTTACAGCCTATATCGTGAAACGCACTTAAATCCTCAGGAACGTGTTCATCATCGTCCACCAGCAGCTTCCACTGCTTCTGACTTTGTTCTCAACAGGCGACTCAGTATTACTTGGCAACATCCGGTGTGCGCAGGAAGTACTTCAGAAAAACAACCCGGAGGTGGCGGAGGCCTTTTCTCAAACAGAACATTCACTCTCTCACTGCAAACTTCCACTGCGGCTGTGAAACCTTATTTACTGCCAGTAGGATTTATTGTTCTATTATTTGTATTATAGTGGAGTAGAATTGTGAAGTAAAACCCCGGAACAGCAAGCGCGTACTACATGCAACACCCGAGCCATGTTCGTCAAGAAACAAGCTCTTTGATATTATATAGTTCCGCCCGTGCCAACGTGAACTCATAAACTGCTGAATCTGAGGTAGACGGTTAATGTGTCATATATTTATTAACTTATTAAATGTACGTTGCATTTAGGATTACATTTACACTTCTATAGTCTAGATAACTGTATAAATGTCTTTTGGTTGTTCTATGTTTTTATGTCTCTATCCTAATGCCGTTCTGCTGCTGTAATGTTGAAATGTGTGTGGGATGAATAAAGTCTATATTATATTATCTTATCATTTTAAATTTACAGGAATTGTTGTGATTACCAAAAAACTTTAATGGTCCATCCAAGATATTTACAAAAAAGAAGAGTAACAAGGCTTGATTTTATTTGCGAGTAGCTTTGGTGAAGAAAAGTTTGGATGCTTCTGTTTATTTGTACGCCAGGGAGAGGGAAGTTCATCCTGAAACTTGCTGATTGTGCTTCCGCACAAACCTGAAGGGGTAATTCTGGTATTTTCCAATCTTTAAATACTTGGGTGTGTCAATGAATGGAATGTACAAAAACATTTGGAATCTGTCCAGTAGATCGCCTTCGCCAGCGATGTGCTCTTCAACAATCGAAAGGCTCAGATTGTTATGCTGGATCACAACACCCACAGAAACAGGTTTCATTAATAGGTCACCACAATCACCACAACCATCTGAAAGTTAATATGTACACATCAACCCAGTGCAACTCGTTTTATCCATTTATTGATACAACAGCTTAAACATCAGGCCTGCTCGGCCCCTGGAGAGAGGTTTGTGAGTCAGCCTTCAAACACTGCAGTAAATGAACATAGGCCTTTCTCACAGACAACAAAATAGACTGCATTACATTACACCAGCAAAACATACAAGAGAACAGTCTTCAATAAGGCTATTTGTGTGTTTTCCTGCTGTGATGAGCCCAAATGTGTGCTGTGAAAAAGGCCTAGATGTGCGTCATGAGGATCTCAACACTGAGTTCAGCACAGACACTTGACTGGAATCATCACTGGATGAGGAGCATGGTTGGTATTGACAAAACTGAATGATGAACATTGTATGTGAGCGTATGTACATACAAGAGATCCACCCTAACAGCAAACTATTGTCTTGCATTGCATATGTTCAAAGATGACAAATTATATATTAGTGAGTTGATCCCAGTCCCAGTGTCCAGCGTGATCTTTAATATCAGGAGCCACATGACTGCACAGCCTTCTCCGAGGACATGCCCGTCGCTGCTGCTCCACTGATGTCTTCCTCAGGCTCCGACATCAGTGCGGCCGCTGGTTTGTTTTCTAGCGACTTATGTCCCGCACTCTTTTCAGCTAAGTAGAGGAGAGAAGCGTAACAAAGTCAGAGACATGTAATGCATAATGCTCCTGAACACACTGACTTTACCTCTAAGACCCCTAATCTGCGTGACATAATGCTCAGATAAGAAGTTTGAGCAGGTTACCCAAGTGTACAATAGCTATTTAAACCCATAGTAAGATTTTTTTAAGAGGCATTTTCTAAATTTGTTCTCTTTACAGATGACGTCATCTTTGTTAGTAGTCATCTTCTTACCGATAGCACTACATGGTGTAATGATGGGTTTCTCATGTTGCTCTCCATCAGTAATGGAGGCCCGGATCTTCCTCACCACGTAGATGCTAGCTAGGATGTGAGACAAAAACATGACAACATATAACACAATGTAAAAAAAACAGTCATTATGAAGATGTGTTTTTTTTATTATACTAAACAGGTTATCTTTATATATTAATTCAGTCCACACAAATCTGTTACAGACAGACATGAGATACAAAAAAAACCATGAGATTTCTTTATTCTGTGAGCTCTTTTCTGTCAGAGTTAATGTCTGCATAGTATTTGATGCTTTACAGACAAAACTAAGTTGCATTAATAGGTTTTAAAAGCTTCAGTTTTAAAACTGAAACACAGTCCTTCTGTCTCCTGAGCCTCTTTTCCTTCAGTATGCGCAGCAAAGGATTCCTGACAATCCTGTGTCTTTCCGCCAGAGCAACAAGAATTTCATTGTGTGAAATTCCAGGGAGAGAATAAAACTTGGATTAGTTGAGTTTTCTCCACGCTATGGTACAAATCTGGTGGCTGTGTGCATCTGAGTGATTAACACACAACCTTCTCCTTAGAATAAATATCTTGATCCCACAAAATAAAAATAATTATCTTTCGGTACTTCAGGGGCTCTGTGGTATTCACTATGTTGAAGGTGGGGTTAAATGTTTACCACTATGTTAACTGCTATTAATACTTATTGATTAGGTTTTTAATATTACATGTTTAAAGATTGTACTTGTTTACAATATTAAAATGTAAACAGTCATGTATCTATAGCTTTAAGATTAATGTCGTGGCATACAAAAACTCAAATATATATATTAGTACAAAGTAATGTACAACGGAATTAATCAAGTAAAGCACAAGTATTTGAAAACTGTATTTAAGTACTTGAGTAAAGGTACTTTCCCTCTCTGCAGACTCTCACACCAGAGAGAGAGAAAGACAGTAAACATCTGTGTTTACCATCTGTATCGCTTGTTAAAATGGGAGCGGTCAGCCACGGTTTTAAATGACTAGATAAATATAAAAACATGGATCAAACTCACCTTTAATGATCAGTCACACCATGGTTATCTCTGGTTTCGATCTGCGGCGGAAATCAGTTCGTGCTTCTCTGATAATTCGCAGTTTTCTGAGATCAACACAAACAGCTGATCTGTTTTTTAACCCCCCCTCCCCCCTCAGACTGAGGCTGTTATAAAAGCACTCGACCAATAGCAGCCAGAGAATATCAACAAAGGCGGGGCTTAAAACTGAGATCTGCACTCTGATTGGCCGAGCCGTTACACAATGTGAGATGAACATGTGACAGGTGATGAGCAGGAAATGCAGTGATGACCTTTACACTTGTTTCACAAATATTTAAATTGTGTTTTTCTAAAAAGGGCGCACCCTTTTTTCATTCTCATCGTGACATCAGCAGAAACTCGTTTTACTTTCACAATGGGTTTATTTTTAAAAGCAAAATAAAATGGAACTGGAATTTATCAATTTATCACACAGATGTGAAATTTACTTCAACATATCCCAAGAGGTTTGGGAAGTTTACTATAAAGTATACTATACTAAAGTATTTTTATTTAACACTCTGTTAATTATATAAACCCACACCAGTTCTGATCATAACTACAAAATATTCATTGATTCTCAGAATTTCAACCCTTTAAATGAAAGTTGTTTACATAGTTTAGTTTGAGTGATTGTTTTTTTAGTGCTAAAGAGTTTTCTTTTGGAATTGGAGGGTTTCTGCAGCCTGGGATAAGTCACTGATAAACAACTAGATTAAAGAACAGTATGTTGTGCTTCTAATTACAGAGGAAACAGAAATAATAAGAAATACATTTCCTTGATGTACACAAAACTTTATTGGTATGTTCTGAATTGCAGCCATCGTTATGTTGAGCAGCTGCATACAGACTTGTATAAGAGAGTACAAAACAAGGGGTGCTTTTGATTCTATCGCATGGTCTTCATCAGCAAATGGAGCTTGTCCAAAAGTACATGTTCAAGTTTAATTTTGTCAGCTTAGTTGTAAAGCTAAATATTTTTTAACACATGCATTGGAAATACTAGCTAATGTACTAACTTAAGTGGATGTGGGTTAAGCAGATGTGCCACAATCCACCACAGGAACTGTACCCACCCAGAAACTAGGAACCCCGTGTGTTTCCACTGTAAGGATCAGGATATAAACTTTTTTACTCCCTTAAAAGTCTCTGCTTGGAGGGTAGTACTTTCAAAATGTTGGCAGCAGTAACATTTGTTAAATATTCTGGCCACCATTTTTTTAATAAAAACCTGAAGCTGCACAAGTAGTTCTTGTTCCGTATTCCAACACAAAAGTACCAAATTGCACCATCAAGGAACTCTCTTGTTACATGTCAGTGCTTTCAGTTTAACTGAGGATTTGCCTTGAATTAACTTCCCCTCTCGGCCACTGTCCAGAAGAATATCTTTTTATTTTGAATATAATATCAAGATCTTAAAATATAAAATTTTAGTAAACTTAAAAGCAACTTCATGTACAAGAACTCAACTCGTGTGTGCTGTCTCCGCTAAAGACTTCTTAAATGCAAAATAATCACTTTGAACCAATGTTTTAATTTATCATCAGGTATTTTATTGCAATATACAGAGCTTCATTTATCTACATCCAATTCTTAACCTTCGTTTTGATCAAGTACTTCAGTAAACCAACATGTATTTATCATTTGAAATAGAAGCAGGGTACCTGAAATAAACACTACACAAATCCTTTCACAATAAGAGTACAGCAGTTTCTCATACAGTTGCATTTTGTATATTCAATATATACACATAGATTTAATTTAACTTAACAGTTTCACACAGCAAGACAAGCACAACAACTGCACACAGAAACCAGACAAATCTCATTCTCTCATGAAATTACAATAGTAATCTTTTTTTTACAATAAAAAATACAATTGCAATCACCAGACGGAAAATTAAACGTTGTTGATGAGGAGTTAAAATTATCAGGAATGATGTGACACCAGTGGAGGATGATATCTAATTTTATGTCAACAATTTGAAGAGCAAAACACTGCAATATTTTATTTGTCCGTTATCATGCCAGTGCTGTAAACAAAGAGGTGATTCATGCTCTTTCTCCCATCGAGTGGTCACAGTTCTTTCACTAAACAAGACCTCGCACAAAACACTAACATTCACTACAGGGACCTACGGGAACAGCTGGAGTGTCGATGGTCAGGACTTAATCCATCCTGATCTTCTGATTGGTCATCCTGTAGATGATGCTGTCATATCCCGGGTCCATGTTCCACAGGTTGTAAGCGATGGCGATGACGGCGAGGGCCAGAGTGATCATGAGCCACAGCACGATGTTGAAAACGACAGCGTAGTGGAAGTTGTACTTGTAGGCCAGGTTGTATGGGCTGCCTGGGTTGCTCTGCGAAAACATTTACAGAAACAGAGCAGTTGGTTCATTAGTTTCCATTGAAATACGTCTGCACTTTAATCATTATATTTCATTTTCTTTCATCAAATTTTTAACTATTTACATCCACTTGCCAGTTTATCAGGTATAAATAACTGAAGTCCTGCATTACATCCAACCACCGTGACTGTTACAATCCATTGTTTTTTTTGGAAACTGTCTTAAAAAGGTGTTGATTCAACTGTAGATGTTTCACTAAACTCTGTGTAATCTTTGCAACAGCGCCATCTGCAGCCACAAGTGGTGATTCATTTTGTTGTGCTCTGAGTCCGAGTCGTTGAGGCTGTTGTAGCCACAAAAACTGTAAGTGGTTGACTTTCAAGTTAGTAACTTGTGTTACAAACTTATAGTTCTTCTGTTACAAGCTTTTGTAGATGTCAAATAGGTGGAAATTCATCAAGGTTAGATTTTGTTCTTTGAACTTGAAAGTTTTTTTAACTCCCTGAAACAGTTTCAACAACAAAAACTGTTTTTTTAACCAGCAGCTGATTCAAAAAGAATTGCATTAACCAGCTTTTCCCCAACTATCTACCCCAGACCCTAAACTGTTCACCTCTTTGCAATGAAAACCCAACAGGATGTGAGTGATGGGGGGGGTAACGTCTCATAAGATCCTTTAAAAACACAGTCAGAACGGACTCTGCAGGACCCCATCACCCCCTCACCCCCATAACCCTTACCGCTTTTTCAAAAATTAGAGTGGATGATCAAAGCATTCCTTGGTTCCAGACCTAAGTCATAAAAACAAAGAAGCATGGACTGGAACCGGTTTACAGGAAATGCAAGGGGTGAAACGACAGCCACACTGTAAATACTGGCCGTGCAGGTTTTGCTGTTGGTTTAGCTTCAGTTTGGTAAATATTTCCCAAGAATTTCAGCCTCAGACTTACAATCTGTTTGGATTCCAGGATCGAACGGGACTTCCTGGTCAAAGGAGCCTCAAAGGTCTTCACTGTCACAACCTCCACTACAGCATTGTTGCCATAGAGACCATACACATCTTCTCCAAACTACAACATAAAGATAAACATGTGGTTAAAAATGGAACTCAATGTGTGGATTGAGGAGGTTGTGTGTATTAAGGCCTGTCACTTCTCCTTCTCACCTTCTGCAGGACAGAGGCAAGAATGGCAGTAGCATCACGGTACTGGGGAGAGTCCTGACCATAGAGGCGGCTCAGCTCCTCCAGGCCAGACAGTTCCAGAGAGTAGAGGTCAGGGGAGTGGTCCTTGGCCAAATGTCTGTGTCTCTGTAGCTATAATAAAGGCAGAAGAGTCAAACCTGACAGACTAACCTCACTTTCAGTAGAAAAAAAAAAACTTCCTCTGAACCAGATCGACTTACAAGAGCTGTGATATCATGCAGGACTTGGACCTCAGACAGGAAGAGCAGATCAGCCTGAGAAGCAACACAACAGAAGAAGAAAGAAAATAGGGATATAAGGATATAAGTTGTTACAAACTTACTGTGTGACAAAAAAAACAAGATACAGTGACTGTTGTGTGCTAACACTGCAAAAAAATTCATACTTTCACATCCTATTGGGAAAGTAGAGTATGAGATTTTCTAGTGAGAAACAAGCCTAGTAAGACCTTGTTTTTATGATTTTGCTGATAGAAACTGACCTCTGCATTTCTGCTGAGGGAGTTGAGAGGCAGGGAGGCCAGCACAGAGCCGTCCTGGGACAGACGGGCACGAATCTGCTGCAAGGTGACTGGTAGGTCCTCAAACACTGCATTAGCCTTCCCCAGCATATACAGCCTCTGACAGAGACAAAACAAAAGAATAACAAATGAGTACATTAAGCATGCTTTCACAGATGTTAAGTGCAGCTTATTCAGTCTCAGTATATTTCCATTACCTCCTCACTAGGGGCCAGCTGCAACACTACAGGGGTGTCCTCCGCAAACAGAGAGTGGACCGTCTCTGCAACACTATCCAGGGTAAAAGGTACTGGCTGCAAGAGAGAAGAGGAAGCACTGAAAAACTCTGAGCCATTTCCTTCAATTTATATGCAGGTCTTCATTTATTTTTACTCTAAAATATATTTGATGAGCAAAACTTCCAAGTAAGGCCGCACTCCAGTCTGACTCACATTCTCCAAGGGGTAGGAGGCCACACTCTGAGGCAGAGCCAAGCTGTCAGCACCTCTCACCACCACCAGTACGTTAGCACGGGGACGCTGGAATAATGGACCAGTCTGGAGGCCTGGCCAGGACAGATCCTGCAAAAAAATCATGAAAAAAACACAATAAATAAATAATCTAAATAAAGACTACACAAGCACAGTTGTGAGCTCAAGCTACTTTGGAAATTACAAAATACACACCTCCTTAACAGAGAAGCCCATGGTTACAGCCACCAGGTCGGGGATCTTCTCTCCAGAAACAGGCCAGTCTCCTTTCTGAAAGGACACAAACTCTGGAGCCTGCAGCACTGTTAAGCTGTCCCCATGTGCACCTGTGGGGACAAAGGAGAAGTTGGTCAATGCAAGAAAAACACGTGGAAAATGATATAATCATTTTACCAATACTCACCAGAAGAAAATGCAAATTTATACATCTTAGTCCATTTTAGAGATATATTCCTTAACTCTATGCTTCACGGACATGTTTCCTCTGGGTCCTGTTAATATTATTCATCTCTGTATATGGACCGGGGGGTGTGGTGTTGATTTTAAAGTATAAACTCTGTAAAGCACTTAATGTTACATATCTAAACTAGGATTTGATTGTGTTTTCAGTCATATCATCCTGCTCTAGTTCACACTCCTTCACTGACAGTCCTCCCTTCCTCCGCTGCTGTTTTGCAGTAATGGAGAACAGGAGCTCTGCTATGAGGGGCCACGTCTCCTCTGTCGGGGCAGCTCTTGTAATTAATTCTCAGTGAGGTGCTACTTTAAAAGGTCACAACTTCACTGGGTCCGAGTAAAGATGAGCCATTAACTCCACAGCTCTGTGGATGGAGGCTGGAACCCGTGACACAGACCAGCTGATGAGCGTGGAAGAGGAACTACCAGTTTAGAAGAAACCACATGACAGCACACTCCTCTGACGGCTAGCAACAAGCTACAGGAAGCTAACGAACGTGCATTCGGTTGAATATCTGCTTAACGAATCTTTAATAACCAAGAATCTGCTCCTCGCTAGCTCGTCCGGGGTGCTAATGCGCTAAGAGGGTGTTAGCAACAAGCTAACATAGAGCGGCGCAGGTTTTAACCACATGGTTCGAATCCCACGTTGATCAAACATCTAAACTAACACGAAGAAATATTGACTCACGTTTTAAGATTCGTGTCGCAGCTACGACATCGAACCTCGCGCACGGAACCGACAGAGAGCTAAAGGACGATGCTAACCGTGATGCACGAAGCTAACATGTTGTATTTCAATGGAGGCGAAGATTAAAGCATATAAATACACAAACACAGTGAACCACGACCCGAAGTGTCGCAGCTCGGTCTCTCACCTGAAGCCAGGAGGCAGAGGACGAACACGGCGGAGAAAACAGCCTCCATCCTCCTTCCACAGTCTGTCAGCGACATCTTTACCTTCAGCACGGATCAGCTGACCTGACGTCACCGCGCCGGAAGAGGTGACGCGACACACGCACAGACGCACGAGAGAGGAAGAAATAATAATAATAATAATAATAATAATAATAATAATAATAATAATAATGATAATGATAATGATAATGAATATAACGATACATATAATAACAACAAAGGTGATTATCTTAAAAACAATAATAATATATATGTTTTAATAATCCTGAACGTTAGATGAATGAATGTTCTGTTTTGAAACTATTTAGAAAAAATATTGAATATTCATTTTTGGGGATAAGGCAGTGTTTCCAGGTTTTGAGAATAATGCATTAGGCAAATAATATAATTATGTTGTTGTTCATGCAACTTAGTTTGTTATTTATTTTTTTAAATCAAGATCTACATCAATAAGATTTAAAATATGTACTTATGTATATATACTGTAATTGTATAAGAGCTATCAAATTATAATTTTTTTTCAGCGTATCCTCAAGTTGGGCCTGTATAGTTGATTTCAATTAAGGACAACACACTTGATGATGCTAAGTTGCAAAACTGAGGTTATATCCTTAACATCTGCTGGTGGCCGCTAACACCTGCTATAATCTACTGGTAGTTGGAAACTTAAATTATGCAGAAGACCTTCAAATGTACAAGACATTCACCATCTTGTCCTAGATTCTTAAAAAACGATCAAATTGAAATCTATTTATTTTTAAAGGTGGGGAGGCCTGCTAGTCGGTCCCTCATGCACAGATCTTTTCCGTAGCAGTGGAAGAAAACAAAGCTGTGAAAGTTGATGCTAACAACAACAACACTGCACGTCCTCAAACTTGTTAATTATTTACAAACCCTCTGTCGGTGTAGAGACACTGAACCATGCTACTACACCAGCTGATGCCTTTTTAGGGCAATAGAATAGTGCAGGCAGTGGTGTTGTATATTGTTCATAATGGCAAGAACAAAGGCAACAAACAGGATGTTAGTCTAGTGGGTCAGGGGTTCATCCTGCAGTGCAATAATGAATCTGAATTTACTTGCAGGTTGTATCAGCACTGCCTGAGAAGAAGACTCCAGTATCTTCTGCAACATTAAAAAAGAAGAAGAACAACAGGTCTTGACCATGTGTGACCAAGTCCTACTAACTTATCTAAGCATTAATGTACCAATGAAATTCTGAGTGTTTCCACAAGAGAAAGAAATTTGCTATGCCAATTTTAAGGGGCTACGAGCAAGGCTGCCATAATTCAAATGCATTTTCAGCGATGATTAGCAGGGAAAATCCTTGCACAGAAGAGTGGGGACCGTGCAATGTTGAGAAATATATGCACCACTGACACTTCAAGGCATTTCTTTCTGGGTGCATTAAATGGTCTGACTCCTCTCTGCCTGGAGAACATGAAGCTCTGACTTTGCTTTATAACTCATCCTGACTTTGCAGTTAAATACAGTCAGCATTGATGTTGCACATTCTTTCTTTTCAACATTGAAATGAGTCTTAAGATTATCTCAGAGGTTGACTTCAGTCTGCTTCCTGGAAGATTTCTCCAGGGGTTTATTTATGCCCCGAGGGACTAGATCTCCCATGTCCCTCCTCTAAAGCTTCATTGTGGACCTGCTGACCCCCCTCCCTGAATTCTGGCTCAGCTCTTGGCAACCTGCCGTGGATCTCTTTGCACCCTCTCTGCAGACATAGAAGCAGTTGGTCATTTCATTTATGAGTCTATCTGCCTTGTGTGGTTCATATTTAGTTCAGTCATTATTTCTGTTGAAGCTCAACCATGCTGACTCGCTGCTGCAGAGCTGTTATTTCTTCTTACAGCCTCTAACGGCCACGTCTGAAGCTTAGATGAAGAACTGATACTCAAAGTAAACTGAGGAACTAAAAACAGACCAATGGGAGATTAACCAGCTGGAGGGTCACAGGCTGGTCCTGAGTGAATTTTCCTATAGTAAACTAAACAACTTTGTGTTTTGGACTGTTGGGTTGGACGAAACAAGACATTTCAAGACAGCAACATGAAAAATTCAAAAATTGTATAACCTATTTGATAATTTATTTTAATTAATTGTCAGACTGATAAAACCTAATTAAAGATAAACTCCAGATGTTAATTAATTTGAATAAACAGTGTTTAAAATTGATACAAATGAGTACTTGATAATACAAACAGAAATTATAAGAATTAAGTAGTTAGAGAATTTATTTGACACATGGATCTTCCAGAAAACCAGGGCCACCACATCTTTGGTGAAACTGCGTTTAAGTGGTTTGGATTCACAAAACTGAACAACTATTAATATAAAGTGAAGCTATTTCACTTAGCACTGCTGGGGGCAGGGGTGGGGGGTCTCATGGAACTTGAGGCCGTGGAGGACCAGCTTTCTCTTTAACCTCTTCTACTTACTCTGTGCATTGTGTATGTGCCCCCCCCCCTTGCTGTAGGGTTCAGGATATCAGTACCTGGCATTAAGTTCCATCTGAGAACAGTATCAACAGATAACATGTCTTAGAGGGTATGGTTGCCAGTATTGTATAGACCCCCCACCAAAAAAAATGCATGGATCTGTCAACACTTTCAAACTTCTCTATCCATTGTCCTGCTCCATGGCCCAAACAATTTAACTGAATTGAATACCTTTTACTATAATTTATTCTCCTTCTAGCCATGGATTTTATGAATTTTCCTGTGAAGCACTTTGTAACTTTGTTTAGATAAGTGCTATACAAATACAGTTATTATTCTTAGTTCATGTCCGGAATATACAGTGATTCAAGAATATTGGATCATGTCATTTTTGCTGATAAGAAAAATTAATAACAGGGCAAAAAGACTGATAATAAATTAAAGGTGTGGATCATTTCAGATGAGATTTATATTTATGTGGTTCATATCCTCAAATCAAATTATCGAGCACTGACAGTGAACATGGAGCACACTTTGCCCTGCTGGTGAACTTTTAGTCATCATGGTAATTTATTAGTAGCTTGAAAATATTTAGAACAAAAGCTGCATTCAGCGCTGAAGGCCAAACCTCTAATAACAGCTTTGAACACTGGGGGGCGCTACACGCGCACAGCAGCAGTGAGTGGGAGTTGAGTTCTTTAGTCATGACTGCAGCAATAAATCGCTTGATGCCTTCAGTTCTAAAATATTCCAAAAGATGGCAATACAGGATTCTGTTGGTGGTCACACCTCGGTGACACGCAGCAGCAGCAGCATATGATAATTTGGCAAAGAATATTCAATTTGACAGAACAGCCAGAAAAAAAAAGGACGAGCAGAACCCATGATTCATCTTGCAGTTTGTATATTTATTTTAAAGCAACTTCTTTTGTAAAATATAAATACAAATTATGAGATATTTTAATTACAAAATTAAAACAAAAATGAACACACCAAAAATTACTTTACTGCAGTAGCCTCCCTGTTATATACAAGCTCTGTGCCGAAGGGTGAATATCAACATTATCTTAAAACTTTATTATACAAACGATTTTGTAGTTTTGCATGTTAAATTACATACTGAACAGGAAGCAAAATCTCAGCTTAAAAAAAAAAAAAGATACAACAGAACAGCCCCTGAGGCTCGAGCGAGCGCTAAAGTCTGAGGAGGGAAAAAAACAGGACATCATGTGCTTCCTATAAACACAAATACCACATTCAATAGCACAGTCTCAGTACTATCCTGTACAGCTACACACATGGACAATGTGCTGCGCGCCCACACACACGACTACTCTGTCATACAAAATCTTTCAGAGAAGTCGTGTGCAACATCCAAAAGAAAAGAATCTCGCTATTTATACATATATATATACATATATATACATATATATATATATATATATATACATACATATATATATATATACGTATATATACATATATATATATATATTTAGATACATATAGATATACATATATATCTATATAGTGATATATATACATGTATAATTATTCACTTATATATATTAATTTATAAAAATAAGACCATTATTAAGTCTACTTAGCCACAAATTTATTGATCCTCAGTTAACGGAGGGAAATATCTGAGCAGCCCGGTCAGCCAGCGGATCAGTCCATCTGTACAGTGCACCAGGGCTGGTCCGGAGCAGGGCCAAAGCGTGGGAGCAAAGCGTCAGGCTAAGGCATGTCATCATAACCCCTGGTTGGTTTTTAAAGCAAACTACAGTCAGTAAGCATCAAGGTCCTGGATTAGTGGCTCCAGGGGTCAGGATGAGCCCAGCTTGCCAACAGCCTTGATTTTGTCCTTCAGTCTGTCCCCTGGGTGGTCCCAGCGGTCGTCCAGAAACTCAAGCGAAGAGCCCAGCTGGGCGGCGAGCTCAGCGCTGTCCTCAACCAGGTCCAGCAGCTCCTTGCTGTCCGGATGGAAGCCCTCCAGCTCCTCTGGGCAAGAGAAGAGCTGCGACAGTGACGCTTGCTGGTAAAACTCCGCCTCTGCCACCGTCACCACCTCCATGTGTGGGAAGGCTTGTCTGAAACCCCGGGCTGACATTCGCAGCCGGCGGAGCACGTCCGACAGTAGCAGCCAGTTTCTTGGCCTGAGAGACAAAAATCAACCAATGTTTAGGAATGAGGGCCAACGGTGAGGCACAGAAAATAAAACAGATGTGTCAGCTGTTGAGAACAAAACTCACCCTTGGGAGAGGGAAACCTGGATGTTGTAGCACGGCAGCAGAGGTCGGTCAGAGAACTCAAACTCAAACACCTCCCTTTTGTCATCCTCGTCCTCGTCCTCTGGGCCCGGTGGGTCTGCGAGGATGTCATAGATGCCGCCTTCTTCACTCGACTCTGCACACAAAAAAATACACATGAGTCATTAGTGAGCGTCCACATTTTCATAGAAGATTCAAGGACAAATATGACCTGAATTTCTCAAAGCCTGATGGAATTTAAGTTGTTTAAAATCTAATTTGTAAGAAACTAAAAAACTAAATCACACATGATCACGCTGCTCCGTACTCACCACACACTGCGCTGCCGTAGAAATCCCAGTAAAGCCCTGGGTCGTCATCTAGGCGGCCCTGAAGGTCAGCAAAATAATCTATGGAAAGAAGCAGAGGAGCGAATTCCTGTTATTCAAGAGCTGGAACCCCGGGGACAGGCAACAGGGCAAATAGGGCAAATACAAATGCCCTTGGGAGATTACAGCAGTGAAATGGATAAGAGCGTGGTGAAATAGAGGAGCAGAGAGAGGAGGGGTGGTGTCAAGAGAGAGAAGAGAAACAAACAGAGCAAATGTTTTGGGGGAGGAGGAGAGGGCTGATGGTCAGGGGCCAGCGGCGGTACCACGGGGGAGGAGAGCGACTGTCTCCGCTGGGTTAGAGCTGGCTCTGTTCAGAGCCGGGCTACAGACGGCTGCCAGGAATCAAACAAGAACCACACACAGTCGCACAGTGCACGCACACACGCACACACACAAACCACACAGAGCGAGCGAGCTGGAAACAAACAAGCAGAGGGAGCTGGCTAAGCACACACAGCAAGAGCAAAGTGTGTATTCAGCACACATGTGAACACACACGCACACACAAGCACGCACGCCCGCCCGCACGCACACAATCACACACAGACACACACACACACACACAGAGCAAGAGCTGGGCTTTGTGCCAGTGCTGAGGCGTGGGGCGTCTGGCGTGTGTTTGGAGGGATTAACGGCCTCCAGATGAGTGGGACCAGGTGGAGGGAGGGCAGCAATCTCTCTCTCTCCCTCACTTTCTGCAGTGCTCGATCTCCCTCTCACCCCCGCTCTGTCAATCAAGCAGCCATCGATCTATCCGTCCACGCTCTTTTCAAAATTCGACACCATCTTTCCAGCTGTCTACGTATAAATATCCCTTTTCTCACCAAACCTGTTCGCCCTTCTGCCGACCGTCAACTTACACCTGCTTCATTCCCCTCGCTCCACGATCTTGTCACCCGCGTCTGTCTCTTTTTACAAAAGCTTGAAACAATCCATTGTACCTAGTGAGGTGTTCATGTAATATTAAGCAGCTTGTTACAGAGGAAGTGTGCGTCCGTGCGCTTTCATTTCCTCCTCTCATGCACTGGTTGTGTTGTCTCAGTTTAACTACAAACACTCAGACGAGCTCTCTGAAAGCACCACGTCAGGCTGTAGCGTGGCAGCTTCATGAAAGGACACACACACACGCATACAAAAGCGAGAGTCTCCAGCCAGAGCGAAGCCCGTTTCCGCACGTACGCTGAGCAAACACAGTTGGCGTTGCTAAGTAACCAGATAGAGGAGCTCAGAGGCAGCAGCACGCACCCTGGCGGGCTGAGACTCCCCGTCTAACAGGTGGTCAAGGGAGGGGATAGGGTGAGGGGGTCCAGAGGAGGACTGGGACGACAGATCCGGATATGTGTGGTGGCAGTTGGAGGGCAGAGGATGAGGATTTAAAAGAGAGGGACTGATACCAACAGGTTGCACAAAGGTGAGAGCACAGAAAGAACAGTTCACAGTGAATGAGCCTTGTCCCACGTCAACATACAGACCTGATGTCTAAAAACATTTTGTCTCCTTATTTGAAAATATTTTCATTATAATTTCCGTCATGGTCTAAAAAATACTTCACTTATGCTGTTTTGGGGGTTTGGTGGAAATTGTGACCTATGTTGCACTTCACAGATTTTATATTAAACCTTGTGCAAATTTTAGACGTCATTCACAATTTAATTGTATTCATTATCTCTGATCGACATTACTTGCAAGCAAATCGCTGCTACGAGTAAGATTCCTTAAATCCCTCAGTCTTCACTTTTTTGTTTCCAGGAAGTCAGACGTCTAATTCACCTTTTGTCTTCATACACTAGTGTTTGAAAATGTCACACAGGGAGACTCGTGACCTCCGCATTTCTAAAATTCCTGGCTGAACCGTGCGCATGACTGGACTGAGAAGCCAGCTGGGATCTTACCAGTGAGGAAGCGCTCCATGCTGTCACTGTGGGTCATCTTGAGGAGGCCACGGCCAGAGTATGTTGCCAGAGTAGGGTCAGCGCCATAGGACAGCAGGACCCGCACCACGTCTAGGTGGTCGTTCTCCACTGCGTCGTGAATCGGTCTGAAGGACACAAATGTACATATATTTTAATGATAAAGGAATATTAACAGAGCTGACAATACAGTATTTACAAAAGGTAAAATATTCCGAGAGGAGCATTTAAAATATATCACTGATATATTGAGGTGATATTTTTATCATCAGCGTCTATATTTCTGGGAAACTGAAGAGTACCAACGACGATGCCATAAATCAACTTTACCTATTTTGGATGTTCCCTTAAACTCTGAGCTTGTGCATCATAAAATAAATTGACATTTATAGATTTATAAGACTGGAATTCGACGTAGCAATGATCTCAGCTGGGTTCTATGGACCAGTGTCGCAAATCTGCAACACAATACACCTTTTACACCTGTGCACAGCCTTTACGAACAGACCCCCAACTGTAGATTCAAATACACTGCAATGAAAGCCGTTGGCCTTTTCCATTTAAAACAGCAGCTAATCTCTCCAATCACTGCTCCTGCCAAGGACATATTCAAAAACACAAGAATGTTTCTGACGGGCTAACTTGAAGTAATTCTTTTCATGTGTGCACCCAAATGACTGTTCTGTAGCAATTTTATTGAATCCTGTCCTTTTCTACCGAGGCAGGGTTTAAAAAGCTTCATCTGGCTGACAGGAATAAATGTGGTCAGCTTTCTCACCTCTATGATCGTCACATCTAGGTGAAGGTGCAGAGCACAGTGGACTGTTGAGACGAGCCCCTGCACAGGCAGTTAGCGCAGATAGTTACAGAGTTGCTGCCGGTGGACTAAAAGACTCAAACTCTGTTGTCTGTACGGCAATTACTCACTCAATTAGTTTTCTATCCCCGTCATCTGTTGGGATTTGGTTTTAATGGTATTTATGATGGTTTGTATGTTTGGTATTTTTTTAACCACCTGGCTGCAACCCAGTCTCCCTCAGATGGGATAAGAAATTTGACTTGACCTGTATCTTAATTAAAGATAAAGCCCTGGCTGAGACATGGAGAAAAAGCCATGATCATGTTTGCATAACGAGACGTGGCTGAGCATGTTACTGTCATTGTGTGTGTGTATATGAATGTGTGTGTTTATTTACCTGGTGCCGTCCTGTGCACTACAGTTGATGTCGGCCCCGTAATCCAGCAGGTGCTGCACTATGGTGAGCCAGCCACGGGCACACGCCTCATGGAGAGCACAGTACCCGGCGTAGTCTCTGTGATTCACCTCACATACTCTGTTCTCCAGACAGTACAGCACCACCTCCTGAAGAGAGCCAACAAAGAAGCAGAGTACCGTTCAGTGTGTGAGATTATGTGTTCTGTGTGTGTGTGTGTGTGTGTGTGTGTGTGTGTGTGTGTGTGTGTGTGGACAACAAAAGCAAAATGAAACCAAGCGCACAAGTCAGAAGAAGCAGACACACGCAAACAGTCCTTCCTTTTACAGTTCCTTTGGGAGAGAAATTAGCGAGAGGGGGAACTGACTGTTTTCCTGTGCCAGACAAACGCACACACAAATGCTCCATAATGCTAAAGCTGGCACCAAAAACACTTTGACGACACTAAATGTGACTCAACTGCATTCAGCCTGCCAGATTCCGCTCACTAGCGCACGCATGAGTGTGTGTGAATGTTTGTGTCAGTGTGCTATGGTTGGGCCTGGTTGCCGCTGTGGCAGCCAGTTACGATAGTTGGACTCGGAACAAAGCGGAATGGAAGCGGAACAAAGAGATTTGACAGAGGCGCTCAAGAGCTGGAAGCGTTTTCTCTGGTCTTGGGCTGTGACAGTTGGGCATCCAGCACTAAGTAGTCAGACTGGTTTTTATTGGACCGGAGCAGCGTCTGCTGCTATTAAACAGAGGAGTCAGAGACCGCTGCCGTGATGTGCTGATAAGAGGCCTCTTTTCCCCAAATCAGTGCGTTAACTTAAACCATTTTCAGACATGAACTCCGGAAAATGTGGGTCCGGATGTTTTTCTTTCACGAAGAACGCAGCAGGAGATTGTTCAGGACAGATGCGTTCACAACAACAGGAAAATGTTCGGAACATTCAGGCGAGGGGTGGTGTCAGGGCAGAGCATGACGTTTAAATTCCGCTGCAGAAAACACATTTGGGTCTACAGCTCATCATCACCAATCTCTTAAATCTTTGCAAGTTCACATGTTTTGGCGACATCATGTGTATGTCACCTCTTCTTCTCTGAGATATTTGTTGATTTTGTGTCTGCTGCGTGTCAAAAACGTCAACAAGTTCAAACTGTGAATTTCCTGCACGTTTTCCGGCTGGATTCTAATGTGGGCTCGCTTTGAAATTTTCCAGACATTTTACTAGGGTGACGGCAGGAAGAGTTCTGGAAAATGTCCAAAGCAACTGAATTGGACATTTGCATTCTCACACGCAGCCCCAGAAAATTTCAGGAAAATGTTCAGAGTTCTGTGTTTGTCTGAGAGCAGCTATACTGTGAGACTGGTTAGAAGTATTTTAAGAAGAAGAAGAAAAACGCTAATTTTATACATATTTTAACATAAATATGAATGCAGCACTCATACATTCAGACACAGTCCTCTGTCCTGCTAACAGTTCTGTGCCGAGGGGAGGAGAGCTTCTCATCTGAACCTGGGGAACGACTGCAAACTTCCATTTCTATGCTAATTCCAGCTCGCCGTCGAGTCCAAGTGTTTATCTCTCTCTCTCTTTCAGCGCAGAGCGTATGGAGGGAGGAAGCGGGAAGGAAAGGCAGGCAATTGAGAGAAAGAGAGACTGACAGAAGGATGTGTGGAGGGTTGGAGAAGGGTGGAGGAGCGGGAGAAGCGTGGGGCAACACCCCAGCAGATGACAGATAAATGAATCTGAGGATGAAATCTGCCGGGTCGTCCTCTGGGCCGAAGCTGATAATAACGAGAGATGAAAGAGTGGTGGGGGGAGGTTGTGGATGGTTGTGGCAGTTCAAAGTTGGGGGTGGGGGGGGTAGCGATTGGAGTCATACAGGGGACGATTGGAGCCAATGATGAGAGAGAGAGAGAGAGAGAAGAGGTAGAAGGCCAGGATGCAGGGAAAGAGCAAGTGTGAGCAAGACAAAGTGCTAGAAAAAAAAAAAAAAA